GCTACACGTAACAACGTCAGTTTGTTTTGCTCAGAGGGCTCATGTACACACCCTTCATCTGGAGGTCCGAATATGGCCCACGACGGTTCTGATCATGTGGTGTGAAACGACTATTTCCCCTGAAAAAACAAATCGTTCATTCTTTTTCTTCTTTTCACCTTCTTGAAGAAATACACGAGTCTACTGAAGTCATTTTAACCACAGTCGGGCTAGCTGCTGTTATAAACTGACGTCGACTAGTTCTTACTCATTATGCCGCAATATGCGTCTCTGTCTCAGTGTTGGTCTCGATCTCGTCCTTGATGATGAACAATGACGAACGGGGAAACCGGTAGCACGAGATCGCTATCCGTTCAGTCCCCAATGCGCTTGCCGCCGCGATAGAGGGGGTTTGTGCTGAATTTAGACCTGGTCACGTTCACACATACTTTGACCAATGATCGCGTGCCATCAATAATCTTGCGTCAAGTCGCGAACTGTTCCTACTAGTACTAGTGAATTACAACAATGTACATAGTACACGTATGCCCCTGATAAAGGGCAGATTATATCCCTCTAGCCTCTGCTCGACCAGCTCAAGCAGAACAACAAGAGATGTGTGCTCAATATCAGCATGCCGGCTGCTGCTGCCTTGTTAGAGCGAGAATCAAGCCAGGCATCCTTGCTTTACAGGAACTCTGACTCTGTTGTTCCATGCCTCTCTACAAGTACAACAGCGAGTCAGACTCAGCTCAGACTCAGAGTTGCTACTGCGCTGCATTGCACACACTTATAGTCTTTGCATTGGTTGAACGACGAGGCCATAGATGTAGCAACTGCATGGTCCGCTCTGCAACTCGATCACATAGCGGGACCATCATGCCCGCTGGTGGAGCTGGTCAGGTACCGGGGTATCCTCAGCTAGTAGGTGGCAAGTGACACTATTGTCATCCGATGCATGGCAGAGCTGAACTGCTCCGCGCCACTTTGCGTGTCTATAAACTGTCTAATAGTACACTGCGTTTTCCTAGACTGCCACTGCATCTTACTGTACATGTATATGTCTGCTGTGTGCTGCAGAGTTCCGTTCGGTGGCGGTGTTACTGTAGACTGTTTTCGTCTCTCTATCTATACCGGTGGTCACACAACTACTCTACACCTGGGCCTGCGGGTATCGGCTGCGAGTATTATCACTGAAAAGCAGAGAGTCGCGCCTTGCGTTCTGAATACAATAAACCCTATAATTATGGCCTACTCACCCTAATCAGTACACACTGTACACGCGCGCGGTTTTTGTGGTAAAGATATAGACCGCGTGCCTATCGCCTCGTCGTGATCTGATTGTCACCGAAGCCAGGCGCTAGGCAGAGCAGTCCTAGTTACTGACTTACCATCACGGTAACGACACCTTTGTCTGTAGCGTAGACCACATGCTATAATTAGTATCGATTACAGCAGCTATTAGTATTAGTATTTATTACGGTATGTTCACAGCTTCTACGTAGGTGTCACCACTATAAGCAAACTGTATCTGTGCACCGTAGGGCATGAAATGGTTACTTCAAGACTTCTATCAAAACTATACAGCCATGTACTACGTCCGGGTGCTACCTAACACAGTAACAGACCAGTGTACAGTGTAGTCGTACTGTGTACAAGTGAAGAGCAACTCCCACAGGCTCACTTCGCAGGTCTACACCTAGGCTAGGTACTACGGCTACGGCGCAATGACCCTCCAGTCGTCCAGAGCCGGGTAGAACATTATGCCTGAAGATGTTCAGGTTGTTTCCAGCACTCTTTCAGTCTTTGTTCTGCCAACGTGCAGGGCCAGTGGGGTGCGTTATTCAGCAATCGCCGCCGCTACAACATCATGCAGCTGTGCGGTACGCGGCCTCGGGACGGGGAAAGAGAGTGAGAAAGCAAGTCAATTGAGTTGTTCAAAAGGGCCTCCCACTTGACTGCTTGTGAACCGAGGACGTGTTAATGGGATGTCAAGAGAGAGATGCGCGAATAGAAGCTGTCATGAAGAGGTTTGCCGTGTACATGTGTGCACGCTCTCCAGTTGAACTACATCGACCGGGTGGTGTTAGAGCAACCTAACTGTTACATGATGTCCTGCGCACCTCACTCACATGTGTGTATAACAACACCCCATACTTTGACCCAGATCAGAGGCAGATGATGGAAAGATGTGCTCTCCAGTCTAGTGACTGCGTGCGTGTTGTGTGTGTGTGTGTGTGTATGTGTGTGTGTGTACGTACATGTACATGTATTATGTGTGTGCATGTGCGTGTGTGTTGTGTGTGTCCCGGCTGACAAGTAACAACCGTAAGATGGCATGGCAAGGGGAAAGTCATCAACGCGGCGTACCGTCCCACTTCGAACTCCTATTCATACTTCCAATCTTCATTCCGCAACTGTCGAAATGCTACACAGTACACGAGTAGTGCACGTACCTGTGCCTAGGCTAGTACTAGTAGTTATAGGCCCTTCACCTGTTCACTGCCAATGCCATTCCGTCACCCCGTCCCTCCCGTAGACCGGCAGTGATGCCATGCTTAGTCTAAGCAAATGGGCCTTCTTGTGTACCCGGTGTCACAGTGGCAATCGAACATGACAACGTCCGTATGCGCGTGTATGTGTGAGAGAGGGCGTGCATGCGTGCGTGCGCGTTTGTTCGACGGGCTGACAGTCACACCGCTGGCGTGAACACCATGTCCCTATCGTCCCATCAACACCTACAATTATCGTTAGGATGTACCTTTCTCAGACGTACATGCTACACGGCGGTTAAACACTGTCCCTGCAAGCGCGACACCCGGCGTCATCACTGTGGCCAGTGTGGTCCCTGTCACCGTCCGTGCCATACTAGCCCATACTAGCCCATACTAGACACGCCAACATGACACCGCAAAGATGAGCATGGGTCTGCGATTATTGCAGGCGCTCTAGTCTACGGTTTTTCTTTTCTTTTTCGTCAGTGCCCCCCTCCCCACCCCCCTCCCCATTACTAGTATATTATTAAATTTGTTATGTGGCTCACATGTATACAAGGAGGCGCCATCGCCTGTTTGTGTTGCGACTTTAAATAAAATTCAACAACAACAGTGGTACAGTGCTGCCTACTGGTCCAAGCCAAGGCGAGACAGTCAAATCAGGCTTGCACTGTATGTACCTACTAGCACTAGATAATTATAATAATAATGTTTCTTCTTTTTGTGTAATTATAATAATATTATAATAGGCTTCAGTTCAGGAGAATCACGCGCTGCGTAGTCGGTAGTGCGAAGCGGGGATTGGTTAAACTAATCATGATAACACCCGAGTCTAACCATGATAGTAGAACAAGTAATTATTATGACTGCGGCAGCGAAGAATGTCAAAGAAGGACCATTGCCATTGCGCGAACCTGCTCGCTGCCGACTGTGTCCCCTGAGCTGAATCTCAAGAAAACCTCCGCTGATCCAAACGACCAAAGCACAAGTGCTAGAAGGATCCTTTACCAATTACCAAGCTTTTCACCCAGTCACACGCCTACATGTATCTACACACTCGTTGAGTCCTGGCAGTATCTTTGACCTATGTGCGTGTACATAGCGGTAATAACCATGATACAGTGTAGCGGGGGTCTGCGCTGGCGCGCATGGCGATGTCGCGGATGGACTGAGTACGAGTCTGTGACTGAAACTATTAAAGTGAAAGTCAACAGCGTCGGTGGATGCATTTCACTTTTCAGTAGATCAGTCACTGAGTCAGGCCAGGGCATGGCATGTCAATCAACACGTATATGTACATGTACGTGAGCAAGGCACCCTACTAATAGTACTATCCGGTATCCCTAGTCCCTATGCCACTATTATGTGCAGCTTCCTAGTGTAGCCTTGCCACTACTGCCACTAGTCAGACTACTAGTCTACATCGCCATGACCCCATGATATTACTGTATTACTGCCGTATTTCCGCGCATATAAAGCCATGGCGTTATATCCGAATATAAGGCCACCCTCACTTATAAAGCCATGGCGTTATAAGTGAACAAAATTCAATGTGGAAGAAGTTGCATCTGGCGTTAAAGGTGAGTTCAATTCTTTCTGTGAACCTACAGTGGCGGTGATTCTCTCTGCATGTACCCATCCCCACTGTCACATGCCATACCGCCACCGCACCTTCACACAAGTTTGTATGCCACCCTGTACACAATAGGTCACGAGTCACAACTTGAAATTTTCAGGGAAAATTGAAAGTACATGGATGCTCGACATGAACATCCAACGGCACCGTACGAGTACTCAAAGTTCATACTCTGCCGATTTTTTTAAATGTACGCGTCTCTCACTTTTAGCGCCATGGCGTTAAAACCCAGGCTATTTTCTCCATAGATTTGGTCCAAAACAGCGATGTTTCACCTATAACGCCATGGCGTTATATGCGCGGAAATACGGTATTGGTTATACAGTCAGACATGATGTAGAGTCATTACGACTACTACTACTGGAGAACGGTTTTATTCACAACACCATGAAGTAAGAGTCAAAGCAAAAAGATAACCCAATTTCGGAATCAAATAGAACACTCAATTGAAATATAAAACTAGTACTAGTAGTAGTACTCCTGAAAATATGCATGATCATGGGCATATGGGTGGCTTAGTATACAATGTACTCTGCAATGACAATGACTTGTATGTGCGACAGTACTGAATGATTATGCATGACTAAAACGAGGCTGCTTCTCTCGTACCCGGTTGCCCACTTAAGGTACGTCATCTAATAATCGTACTTGCGCGCATAAACACATGACATACATGTGGGCTGATGTGAATGACTATGATGAGTATGTAGGGAGGTGCATGTGATTGTGGGGGCGAAAAAATGCTATGCGTGAACATCGGAGCGTGTCTCCGTTCCATAAAAAAACGCGTGTAGTGCAGAATACGGCAGCTCCGTCAATCTCAGGCGGATTTGATTCCCGGCTAGGCTAGGCTGGCGAGATCGAGAGGAACGCACACGTATATCACATAAGCGTGACCTTTTTTTATTCGCTCCACCTCTCCTGCGAGCAGTTCAGGCTAGTTCTCAACTGCCTGTGAAAACATCACACGTCTTGCTGTCGAGTGGCGAAACGACACCGCAGAACAGTATAATAGTGCCGTCTTTCAGGTTGGATTGCAGTTTGCAGCGTGCTCTTGCGGAGCAAAGGCCTCTGTGTAGATCTACCCTTCAATCAAGGACATACCAGTCTGTGAATGCAATGCAAACTGTTTGAGTATCCAGCATAGTGACTGTGCGTGCGTGCTCCGCTTGTGAGCGATTAGCTGTGGAGAGCTGGCGACGGACAGCAGAATCTTTTTCGCTTCCTGCCAGTAGCCACTGGCAAAACAGTTCAAATTGCTGCCTTCACCCATGCAACATGGTAAGCGTGTGGGGCGAAGGGGAACGCCAGCAGTGCGCAGCTGCTCCGTCTCCGTCATTACTAGTGACGACCCGTGGACGATGTTACCGTTGTTCACACCTCCACGATGAAAGGAGATGGAGGATGAGATATGAGCGCTCGCCGCTTGCTGCGAAGTCGGCGACAACAGCCGAAGCTGCGGGAGCAGTAGCAGTAACGACGCTTTCTACTAGTTCTAGTTGTTCGGCGACTACTGCTACTGGACGTGGCGAATGGCGGATGGCGAGGCGCAGAACGGACAAAGGACGTGGATGGACCTTCGGCCGTCACTTCGTCCTGTTCGCCCTAGTTGCTCTCGCCATTTTGGACTGCAATTTGTCCAGCGCACTCATCGACTTCGGAGGTGAGAACAGACTCAGTGTTGATTGTCCTGGAGGCGCGCGTGTGTGTGTGCTTGGCGGCGTGTGCTGTGGTTTTGAGTCGCTTCAGGACTCTTGTTGTGGTGTGCATGGAAGTTCTGTGGAGAGACTTCCGTGTCGTGTGTGGTGTGCGCGGGCGCCCGCAGTAGTACATTGGAGTCTTCTCATGGTGTCGCCGTCCGTCCTGTCTGCCTCGTAGCAGATGGTATTCTTGGGTAATGCGAGATCATGCATCTTTTGTTCGGTTCGACGGTCAGCTAAGCCTTAGCCTTAGGTGTAAGGTGTTGCTACTGTGCACCATGGTGTACTGCTACGGTACTAGACTGGTACGTTTCTTGTCAGCTGTATTATTCCGTCTCTCTCAGATTTGATTTATAGTCTAGCAGTTCAGCTGTATTCCTGCCCGTGTGGCGTGCAAAGAGTGAGAAAAAGGGGCCGAGGGAGCAGGAGTACCTCCGCGATTGTACTGCAAGAACAAGACTTGCGTGTGTTTGTTAGGTGCAGTGGCTGGCTAGACTCGCCACGCCAAGACATGACTTTAGAGTTCAAACTGAAAAGTCGTGTCGTGCGCATTGTGCGTTACTAGAAACGGGAAGTCAGAACCAGTGAGCCAGGGTTAAGTAATAGTTCCCGTTGCGCATCTGCCACCTAGTATGTTGCAGCGGGCGGGAAGAATGATGTGAAATTTGCTGCATGGAAGCGCCCGCTCTCTCGCACATCTCGTGTCGGTTGGCCCTAGACCAGCGACCCTTTCTTTGCTTGTACTGTTGTTGTAGCAGCATGCACCAAGATCGCGGCCAGCACAGGCCTGCGATGACAGTGAAGTAATATTAGTTGCAGTAACTGTTGTAGACTAGTTGTGTGTAGAATTATGTTGCTCTGGCACTCACGACCATTAGGCATTACTTGCACGGTATTAGCCTGTAGCGTGTAGTGTGTAGTCACAGCAGCACAGCAGCACAGCTAATAGAGCTATGTAACATAATTGTTACCGTGTGTACTGTAGTTGAGTGTGCTGTTACTTGTTAGTACAGAGTCACTCAGTGTACACCACCACCACTATGTCACGCTCGCTTGAGCAAACACCTCCGCGTGTCCCCTTGGCCTTGATCTCTTTGATGAAGAAAGCTGTGCTGTGATCACATGTGAGTCAGTGACGACAAAATGCCCCAGAGACTGCAGGGGGTAGGCCTGGGTACAAGACCCTACACTGCAGGGTTGATGGTAGATATACACCCACCCAGATGGATGTGTGATGGAGCTGTCCAAGTCCTGACAGCAATCCCAAGCTGTGGGACCATGGGGTCTGAGTAACTGAGGGGTTCCTTGAAAGGTTAGGAGCACTGCTTTTGGGACACAGTCACTGACACAGCTCTGGTACATGTATGCGTAGTATGGGGTTAACTTCAACTTGTCATGTCCACTGCAGGTCATGAGCAGCTTGCTTGTACTGAATCATGCAGTAGGTGGAAGGTACAGTCTGATTTCTGACATATTGCCAGAGGCCTGCCTTCCCACCAATCAAGTCCTTAGGCCATTTTCTTCATTTACCTTCTGACCCAAATACCAACTCCACATCATTATGCAATTTGTGACCACTCTAGTTGGTAGATACTGGTCCAGTCAGCTACTCTGCATGGGGGGTTGGTCATCAATCAGCCAGTGGGTGGAAGAAATGTCAGAATACTGGCAATATCAATTAGAGGTATCAGTTCTATTCCGCCTTCCCATGCATGGTGGAGGCCAGTCTAGCCAGAGTCCGCTGCATATGTCTTCCACCTACACATCCGCATGCACACACACATGCACGCATACATACACACACACACGCACACACACTCACATACACACACACACACACACACACACACACACACACACACACACACACACACACACAATCTCACTGAGTCATGGGAACATTGACAATGAGTGATACTGGGCTGGCTGAGTTCTTGCAACGCCTTTAGCATTCTTGTCCAGCCTGCTCAAATCCTCAGTACCTCCTCTTGTGTGTTTGGTGAGTTTTATGTTGCTGAAAGAATGCAATGGGAAGGAAGTTCCTTTGGCAAATTTCATTGTCTATAATAAGATGACATTGTCTGAGGTTGTGTGGGGTCATAGGGACTGAGAGATATCTTAGCCATGCTATTGTGTACTGACCTGCCGTGACTGCGGCAGCATAGTTCATGTAATGCCGGATTCAGGGATTCATTCGTTCCCTAATGCTACTGGTGGAGGCAGGAACTGGACCCACTAATATGGGTGATTAACCAAACGTTGCAGCACCACAGCACTAGATATACCATTGCTATGCTATTTGTGTTAGCCCACCCACACCCCATGGCACGAGGCAACTTGATCTGTTGTTGCATAATAATTCTATGCCAGACTTGCAAATGATACTGCCCACGTGTTTGACGTGTACGCAGACAATAACTTTGTACCAGACGCGCACATGACATGAGTTGCGGTATAATAGCTTTGTAGCAGACGCGCAATTGAATGCTTTGTGAACTGGACCACCCATATGTTGTGCCACACGCAATGTAACCGTTCTGAGTTCTGAGTATTGCCGTTCTGAGTATTGCCGTTCTGAGTATTGCTGTGAGTAGCAGGCGTGTAATGCGACTGGTTTCCAGCCTGCTCGGAAGCTACTGCATGTTTGATCGAACTGGTGTAGATGTAGTAGTTTGCAGGCCTAACACAGTGGACTATTTGGAGGACTATACACTATGTGGGTATGATCCGTTTGTTTTGGCCATCGGCCCGGCTGTACGCCAGTTCCTTGGGGTGGGTGTCTGGAAATCTCTCCGTTTAACCCAGTAGGGGACCTTCATGGGAAGTTGAAGAGGAAGGATTTAGAGTGGATAGCTTGCATGCGTGCTGACTAACTGCACTCATCCGAAAACTGTGTGTGGTCAGTGCTGAGCATGATTGCAGGGAAGTCTGTACGTCACCTGCCTTAGGGAATAGAATCTCAGGAATGTCTTCTGTAGCCCGGTCAGTACAGGAATACAGGTTACCAGTCGTGTGGTGTGCGTCTGTGTGTGTGTGTGTGTGTGTGTGTGTGTGTGTGTGTGTGTGTGTGTGTGTGTGGTGTGTGTGTGGGGGGGGGGGGGGGTACTGTGACATCGGACACAGGCACGCGGTGTTAGCATTGCCCGCAAGGCACAATGCGATGTCGTTTGAGAATCAAGTCACCGCCTCTATCCGGCCTATGGTTGGTTTTCTTGGATACCTACATGTATGTGCGCTACTGTCCGGGGCCGTCAGTGGACGGGTAAGATTGAGTTTGCATGGCGCATCTGGTACAAAAAAACAGGCATCCTTGGATTAACACTTCCCATCGAGAATACTAGTAGTTAACTCCATCTCAGGAATGCGTGTGAAGACGGCGTGTTGTTTGTTGTAATTCTCCTGTCCACTATCGATACCGCCCAGAAAGGTAACATAATCATTGGCGCCAAGGTTTTCGAGTATGAACTGCGTGCCTTGCTCGTCAACCCATCCCATGCGTATTGTATCCCTAAGCGGTGCAATACACCATGGTAGCTTTAGTGTTCGCATTGTAACATATGTGTCAATACCATGATATGCCAACCCTAACACCATGGCGCACACGTCTCATTTCTAGCCACGCCTGCTGAGGACGGCGCATGCAAACGTGCAGTACGACTCAGTGCGTTCATGCTCCCAGGGAAATGGTGTTTGGCCAATGTCGGGTGAGCAGTACAGACTCAGTGCGTTCATGCTCCCGGGGAAATGGTGTTTGGCCAATGTCGGGTCAGCAGTACAGTACTGTCGGGTAGCGCCGAAGATCGGCGGCCAGGCTAGAATTTCATCAAGCACAGCATACCAATGTATACACGGTGACTCAACTGCGCATAGACTGTAATACATGAAAATAAGAACAGTCTGGGCTAGGAGGCTGAGCCCCCAGTTCTTCGGCGACCAACAGTACTGTAGACGCATAGAGGTGTGCTGTGTGGCTCAGGCTGGTGTGCACCATGACCCTGCGTGTACTCGCCGTGTGTGTACAGCACTACCATGAATGTAGGATAATGTTCCGGGAAGGGGCATGATGACCTTTAGCCATTCTGTCTATGGTTAAAGGTGTACTGGTATTGTGCCAGGCACTGGAAACGACACTAGTGTTGTGATGTCACGTTAAGCAGCGTGTGGGGCTACTTTTATGAATCCCAGTGACAATAGCATTGCTGTCGGAGCAGGTGAGACATGCGCAAAGGAAATTCTTAGCTGCTGCTGCCCAGTCGAGTTCTCGTCGCAGTCAGTTAGAATTGGCTGTCATTGTTTCTGGTGTGTTGTGTTGCGGATAGCATTCCTTTGTAACAGCCCTGGTGTGGTGTCTGGCCATCGCCCAGATGATTGCGAGGATGCGGTCTTTGCTAGAACTACATGTCCATACAGCACCTGGCTATGGCAAGCCATGGCAGTCAACATTGGCAGCATTCGGTGTGACGAGCTTTTGGGGGTAAACATTTCCAGATCAGGCTGTTCAGAGATCAACAACTCTTGGACTGGAGCGTCGAATCGGATATGCCGACTGCGCGTCTTAGCATCAGGAAGCCGTTCAAGTCAGCACTGCCGGCCATATTTTGGCTTGCAATGTGACTAGGTTGAAATCACTGTAGGAAGCATGCATACTGTGTGCCTAGGTAGATCCTATTACAGCATTTCCTATTGCAGAAGAGGCCCAGTCACGCATGAACGACATCCACAGGATATTGCTAGTTGCCCAGAACTGAATTTTGATCTCTGAAAAAGGTGATTGGGGCTTGTTCACCGGACAAACGACTGATATAGTTTCTTGCAGGTGCGGCATGGCCGTCGCCGCATCACCTGCAGCATTGTGTACTGCCTGCTGCCCTACTACGGTCAGTGTGCTGTGCATCACTGGGGCCAGGAGAGCGGGATGATGGATGAGTTAGGAGCACATCACTGCTGTAGTCTGTGCCAGGCCCGGTACATGATGGTGATGATTATGTACGATCACGTTAGCATGGCCTGCAGACAGTGCCAGGTGGGGTACTACTACCGGGTGTGTAGCCACTTGTTCCTGAGCAGAACTGACTACACCTTTTCCTCCACCAGAGAAAGAAAACATTTAGCAATGTCTAGCAGCTGCTACCTCTTTGCAGGCGTAGTTGATCAGTGCATGCACTGTGTCCAAAATTGGTTGGCACTGTGATTCTGCCTTACTGTTTCTCAAACCATTTGCAGGATCCCAATGCACCAAGGTATAGGATCCCTCTGTTCCCTTGGCAACCTTAATTAAGTGCTGATAAAACTGGGCCTTTGAGATCGGTAGAGAATGGAGAGAGGGAGAGAGAGAGAGAGAGAGAGAGAGAGAGTGTGTGTGTGTGTGTGTGTGTGTGTGTGTGTGTGTGTGTGTGTGTGTGTGTGTGTGTGTGTGTGTGTGTGTGTGTGTGTGTGTGTGTGTGTGTGTGTGTGTGTGTGTGTGTGTGTGTGTGTGTGTGTGTGTGTGCCTATGGTATGGAGTCAGCTGTCCAAGATGAATAGTGCTGCTAGTGATGTCTGGGAAGTGTACCGTGATAGGGGCAGCGAAGCAATTATTTGGCCTGTCTTGTTGGCCAAGAGAACCCCGAGTGGGTCCAAGATACAAAGGTTCTACAACTAAATTGTCATCCGCTAAAAGGTGTGAATCCCGACTTGGTGCCTCACTCGGCGTCCCACTCAGTGCCCATATCTGATGGTTCTACTACAAGAGCCGGTATTAGCATTAGCTATTCGCCATTGAGGTATCGGATACAGAGGTACTGCCTGTCGGGGATGCTTGGCATCATCAACGATACCTCTGCACTGGTGAGCTAGCGGAATGTGGGGCACTGAGCATTGTAGTATCTGCGTCTTAAGCAGACCTAAGGGACTGGACTTGCTTGCCTAGTGCCCATGAGCTCTCTGCTGTTCCACAGATGTTCATCATGTGGCTGAGAGGAAGTGTGGCGGCTCAGTGGAGTCTTTTCATCACCCCCGGCCCTCCCCGTCGTGAACGGCGGTAGCGAGATTGTCGGGGGAGAGCAGTGATTGGGAAGCTGCCTACGGACAATCCTCTGACTTCTATCCATAACTGCGGCGTGGCATTCTGTCCTTGCCTGCCAGCCAACCTGGTCTTACTCTACAGGCCGCAGTCCCTGTGGGAGTTGCTGCTGCTGTGTGTACAATCTGCATTCATCATACAAGCACTCTGTATTGTCATCAATATCAACTTCTGCACACTGAGGCAGGATGTCTAGTAACTAATGCAGGAACAGCAGCAACAGCAGGAGGAAGAGGCAGGTGTGCAGCTGCCAAGTAGTAATTTGGTGTTTTTTTAGTCTGTGTGTTTCAGGTTTCCCGTCCTGTACCTTCTGTTCTGTCAGTACTCGTCGCAGTGACTCAGTATACTCTGAATGTGTGTGGTAGTTGCAGCTCAGCTCCTTTGTTGTGTAATATTCAGTGGTGTACTGCCGGGGTCTTGTCACTCTTGTGTCTGTTTTGGCATGGGGTTCCTTACCTGGGCCTGAATGCAGCCAGCCTATGGTATGCTAGCACACCTGGTGGACATGGCCGGCCGCTGGGAAATGGGTGTCAAATGTTGCATTGAGAACTTGAGATGTCAAGTGCCCGGGTCACAAGAGGGCATGCAGACACTGGAGGAATGCTGCTGAGGGTACTGCTGCTACCTTTTGCAAGTTTTGGGCAGGACTGAAGTGCGCAGGTGTGCAGCCCTTGGACCTGCTGCTCTTCAATCCCATGTATGTGTTGGAGACCTAAGGCCTGAGTAGGGGGTCTGAGATCCTGTGAGCATGTTACATGTCCAGGGAAATACACTCGCTCTGAGTTCAGTCTTTGTTTTAGTCTGGTCTACAGCTGTGTGCTGTGTTAATCTGGTGTGGATGGCACTGAGGAAGGGATAACCGATAAGTCTTCTAGTGTGTATTATGAGCAAGCATTGACTGCCGCTATCAGTGTCCATGTCACGGTATCTGCCAGGCTGACTGCCACAGTATCATCACTGCCATCAGATGTAGCAAGTGGCTGCCTTCTTGTCTCAAGTAGCTTGTTGTCAGACAGGAGGATGACTTGCCAAAACTCCAGGCAACTCTCCTCTTGGAACTGTGAAGTCCCGCTAGGGGTTATCAATGTTTTCAATCAGGAGTGACAGTCACAGTTGGGTAGTCAGACACTGTTACGTAGTTTGGTGTCTGTGAACCTGAGGTGATCATGCCCTGCCATACGGAAATGCTCACGCATGCCTTTGGGCAGACTTCCTCAGCCTGTTCTCTATTACACAGTGTATACACTAATACACTGTTCAGCTGTGCTGGGCAACATGATGTTACACTGCCCTGTGGCGGCTAGGCTGTGCGGGATAGCCACTACTCTGTCAGCTTTGCCAATGGCACTCAGTGATTGTAGTATTAGTAGATGTGCAGTACTGTAGACTCTACATGTATATAGTCACATATGCGTTACAATAGGAAATACGCTGCATACCTACTGCTCTTTTCTCTCCGAAACCGTTACATTGTAGTACAGTGCAGATCAATCGGTAATCAAGGTGCCATTGTACTTCGAAGTATGTGGGTGCGTGCGTGCATGCGTGGTGTGTGTGTGTGTGTGTGTGTGTTTGCGTGTGTCAGTCGTATGTGTGCCCTTTTGTTTGCTCATTTGTATGCCTGTGTATGTATAAAAGTGTTAAGCTGTCTGCCTCAGTAGAGGTAGATGACTACGTGCACCAGGACCGGTAGGATCAGTGTTTGATCGGTCCGGGCCATTCAATAGCCTCGCATACTTTGTGTATTATAGCAGGCACACATGACCTCCTCAGCGGCATACACAGGCGTTGGTGGCCCACAAGTTGGTTGGGCCGGCATGGCCTGACCAACCGGACTGGTTATGCTAGGCCTGTGCACAACTAGCGTTATTTGCAATGTCCATCACAGTGCCAATGCTGCCCGCTGTGATGTGTTGTCTTGCCCGCAATGGTCTAAGGGGTCTGTGTGTCTGCGGTTTTGTTGTTCCAATTGCTCTCCCCAGATCCGTTCGCTGATGACCCACGCTTCGTAACACCGCTGCAAAATATCACCGTCCAGCTAGGCAGCCCGTTCAAGTTGATATGCATTGCCAATGCTGGTCCACTGCCACAGATGCTGATGCACCACAATGGCATGCCACTGAGCACGTCATTCGCGCCTGATCAGAATTCGAAAAGCAACTACGACGAACTAGGATTGGAATTTGCGGTGGAAGTGGCGGAAATCAAGCATTCTGGTGTGTACCGATGTCAAGTTCAGAGTTCGAAAGGACATGTTGCTACCACGACATCCTATGTCAAAGTTACAGGTAGGACAAGCAAACCCACGCTACCAGTTGCGTATAATACAAATGCTCTTGTTATCTACCAAGCAGACATTGTGCAGACATTGTGCAGACATTGTGCAGACATTGTGCAGACATTGTGCAGACATTGTGCAGACATTGTGCAGGATTTGTGTTCCAGTATCTGTGTACATGATTGCACTGTGTGGCCTCTGTGTACATGATTGCACTGTGTGGCCTCTGGCATTGAACTTCAAACACGTGTGCACCTGAAGCCGTGTATGGCGGCTGGGCTGCTTTAGGACAGTGTCCGGTCTTGGATAGCAGCCACTAGTCACTGGGGAGTTAGAATCCACTTCTATGGTGTAGCGCGTGTGCCCTGCATACACATGCAACATTCTCACGCGTGTGCCCTGCATACACATGCAACATTCTCACGCTACCACACTACACCATAGTTTTTGTTGTGATGGCAAGTGAAATGTGACCCCTAGGGGTTCCCCATGCCGCATCCAATGCCAAATCACGATATGGACTTGCTTCCTCCATTAGGTCTGGCCATGGCCGGACCAACCTTTTGGCCAAGTTTACTGCTGAGAAGGTCACGTGTACTCGTCACATCATACACAAAGCATGAACGGCTATGGAATGTCCGGACCAATCAAAAACTGCCTCTGCCGGTCTCGCCCATACATTACTTTCTTCATTTGGCAGACGCACGCTACACTGTATGCAGTGATTGGGGGCTTGCTTGGCAAGCATATGTAGTGTCGCTTTCAGGTTTTCAGGTACGGGTAATTGTTGCATGTTGTTCCCGCAACTGTTCTTACTTCTTGTTCTTGCTTTGCGTTGCTTGTTACGTCCTGACTAGGAGAAGGAAAGCCTGTCCTGCGTGCCATCAACAACCAGGTGATCACAGAGGGCGCTCCCGTCAAACTGCAGTGCATAGCCGATGGGCTGCCTCGGCCGATCATCGAGTGGACTGTGCCAGACCACGTCGTCGTCGGCCAGGACATCCAGATCAACAACACGCATGGTACCGTGATCATCAGCAGTGCCAAGCTTACGCACGAGGGCTCCTACCGGTGTCAGGCGACGAATCGATACGGGGTCGCCAACCGCACCGTCAAGCTGACTGTCATCGATCACGAGGAGCCCCGCCAGCCAACTGGTAAGTCGAATGCGGTGCGTGTACATGTACGCGATCTTGATTTAAATCATAATCTCCCTAAGTGTGGAGTTGGAATGAAGTTTGGTCGATTTCTTTCCGTTTATCAGAAACTGTAGCTGCACTATCCAGTATCCAAGCATAGATACAACCCCAGCTGGAGAGAGTGCGCATAGGACCACAGGTGCAAACCACACAGGATATCTGTGCGGGTATTCTACCTGGACTTGATGACACGCTGAAGTAATGGATGTAAGACCCCGCCGTACTTGGTCACCATGTGTGTGGAATGCGGCATGTGCAAGGGTCACGCTAGTTTCAGAGACCGCCTGTGTCCAAATGCTGCAAGTAGCTAGTCCCCAGCATGGGTGATTGTTGAAATCAGCTCAGTTTCACATGTTCTTCAAAGCACATTTCATTGAGATGAGTGATTTGGTGATCTGACCCTGGCTTCTTTTTCTTGCACACAAACAGGCAACCAATGATCTGACTGATGTTCTTGTATGTGTTGATGTACTCTCTACTTCATTCAGTGCCAAGCCTTGCCCCAGAGCTCACCACCGAGCCACCACGGACTGTAAAGGTGACGAAAAAGGAGCCCAGCGGGGGCGGTATGCTCCTGGGACTGACGGACGAGGTCCTCATCATAATCATTGCCTGCTCTGGGGCCGTTATTGTCATTGCCTGCGTCACCATGCTCCTCTGCTACATCACCATGACGCGCCGCAGACGCGTGCACGCTCGCAAGCCGCCAGTGGCCAGTCCGCCGACGTCCCAGACGCACACGGACAGCACGACGAGTACAGGGGCCATGGAGTCGCCAGTACAGACCCTGCACTATGCCAGCGACCATCATCCTGGCAGGTCACCAATACAGATGCTGCACAACGGCAGCAGTGGACACCACCACCATGTCTTTGTTTAGCAAGCAGCACAAGGAGCAGGCCAACAGCACCAGGAGCAGCATCTGCTGTACTTCGAAGTACATGAAGCGGTCAGCTGATACGGACATTGCTTTGTCCTATGGTGATATGCATGGTCCTTTGGTGATATGGTGACTGCGGCATTGTACAAGACAAAGACATGTTATTGCTAGGCAGGTATCGGTACACAGGCCATCATCAGTATACACATGTTCTTTCATAGGACAAACTCAGTCAAATACCAGCTGCATATGCCGCGAGTAGGATACCGGCATTTCAGATCCCAGATAATATTTTCGTCCCATTTTCGTCGGAGACAATTGATTGCTTTGTGTTCCAGAATGCTTCCCTATTTAATCCATTCAGCCAAGTTGGCTAGAGAGTCTTCTCTTGACAAGTGCCTTGAGCGATGATGACGGCAGTCCTTTGATGCACACAATTCCTTTACCCCATTATATACCTCGAACAAGATAGTTTTGCGCATTTTCCTTTTTTTGCCTTCCACAGCTGAAGAGCGGTATAGCTGTTTCTTTGTTTGGTGAACACTATTACTCTGATAGTAGTAGCAAGAGTACCGTATGTTCTCCCTGAGTAGCAGCAGTAGCAGTTGCCTAAATCAGGTTGATATTGCCGTCCGCCCGCTCTATTCTAGATACACAGCCCCACCGGCACATATTCTATCAGGACTACTTTGAGAACACACAAGAACAAGATTATTCAACTCTGGAGACGAATCACGACTGCTGGCGCGCAGAAGAGTATGTGTGTGTGTGTGTGTGTGTGTATGTGTGTGTGTATGTGTGTGTGTGTGTGTGTGTGTGTGTGCATGTTTAGGTGTGTTACGTATGCGTATAGATGTGTCTGCGTCCGTGGCATGTTGAAACGATTCAAAGCTAGTCCGAAATTCGGTACTCGGTATATCCATTACAGTTAATCTACGCTGACACCACCGCAGAGCCGAGATAGGTGTATGGTTTGTACATATACTTGTTGAACTTGAATACAGTACAGTGGAGATCGGATATAACGACCTTGCATGTAACGACAGATTGAGTTTAGCGACACAATTCTGTTGCCCCAGTCGTTTAGTAAGTCCTTTGTGAAGATCGCGTCTAGTGACAGATTGAATATAGTGACATTTTGTTCTCTCCCGAAGGAATGCCGTTATATCCAATCTCCACTGTAGCTGGAAATCCCCTCAATCTGTGGACCGCTGTTTTGACTTGGATAAACCTCCAGCTCAGAGTGATTGGACACACTGACTGCTGTGCCGACATGTACTGAACACGGATTAATTTTTTTATCAGTTTTTGAAGCGTCAAAATTGGAGTGAAATCAACGAGGACTATTTCTCAATTTCTCAGCTACTGCACAATGACATTGCCACGAACACCACATACAGTAGTTACCATGGTAACTGCATACGACAAACAGCATATGCAGTAGTTCATGACTATGGTTATAGCAAGCAACCCATGCACACATTGTGCTAGCATGCCAATGCACTCACTCCATTCCCACTGTAACTCTGAAGTGCATGCGCACACTTTCAGTACACTTTCCAAATTTCCCAAATTAATTAATTTGTAAGACAGCGAAAACCACATGTGCACACTACCCACTCAGTGCTCAATTTGAGGAATCCAAAGAACCTGTAACTAAACCAGAAGTGGTGCGTGCGACTTCAAAATAGTGAATCATGTGTTGGCCCTGATGCTTTAAACTACCATACAATAGCTTGTAGGTTCTAGGTTCTAGGAGAGAGAGAGAGAGAGAGAGAGAAAGGAGAGAAGGAATATATATATATAGAGAGAGAGAGATGGTCCAGCCACTCCATAAATACATGTAATTGTATGTACAATGAGGTAACTATGATGTGCATCCGCTGTCCAAAACACGGACTCTACATTTGTAAGCCAGAAACTATCATGCTCGACTAGTGGTAAAGCGCTTGCGGCGTGTACGATTCTCGGCAAGCGATCATCGATATACAGGAGTTAACAACAATAACCGACAACACAGCATACAGTAACTGTTATCAAGCAATGAGTGGTTCTGGTCAGCGACAATCACTCTGACCCATGATAATCATCGCAGGATGATTTCTCTTGGGTTAGCAACAGTGAGCATTAGCACGAGCATGTTCGGGGGACAAGAGGACCACTCCATTTTTTTGCAGAAGTCTAAAGGGAGGATGAGGATGCCTGCACCCAACAACAGAGGGTGAGGGGTAAGGGATGCCAGCACCCATCAAGCTCTACCATTTTCATGCGGTTAGTAAAGTCAAGAGCAGCAACACATGTAGATACTGATATACTGGCACATACCTGCACATACCTACATCAGATGTTATTAACACTAGCGTCCATGGTGGCATCCCCTAGGCCCTGTGTGGCCCTCCGGCCACAGAGTGAAGCAGCTGCTGACGGCAGCCTTGTCCTGTCCAGAAGTTCATGACGTCAAGTCTGGCATGCTGCGTGCAGGAAAGATCTCGTACTGCGGGCCGTCCTCACCGACGGTGCTGGTGTTGGTCAGACGAAAGTTACTAGCCACCGGAGAGACGCCGTACAGGCCGGAGTACTTCTTTCTCATCCCATGCGGTACTGGAGTGCGCCCGTTGGATAGTCCGGGGGCAGGTGATTTGCTGTAGTGAACAGTAAAGACAGAAAAGCATTTACAAACAGAACAACTCACAGGACCTGACCTAATGGCATCATTGACTAGGTAATACAGTGATAGTAACCAGGTAACAGGTACATGTAACATGTGCACATAACAGTTACAGGTACAGGCTGTGACATCACATGGCTGTGCACGGCTATACATGGTTGAAGGTATGCATACAGGTGTGTGCTGCTGCTGCTGCTCACTTTCAGTCTCGTGGTGTTTCAACCAGACAGGTACAGGTCGGTAGCACCCAGATCACGGGGTCTGAAGGCACGCAAGTCACAGGTCTGCCCTACCAAGAACACATAACCCCGGGGTTACTCGATCTCCGGATAGCTAACTGTTTCGACCTTGACATGTGACTTGGTGCTAGCAATAGTACCCAACTCAACCCCGGCATGGGCTAGAGTACCCAACCCCGACATGGGCAATAGTACCCAACCCCGACATGGGCTAGAGTACACAACCCCGACATGGGCAATAGTACCCAACCCCGGCATGGGCTAGAGTACACAACCCCGACATGGGCTAGAGTACCCGACCCCGACATGGGCTAGAGTACACAACCCCGACATGGGCAATAGTACCCAACCCCGACATGGGCAATAGTACCCAACCCCGACATGGGCTAGAGTACACAACCCCGACATGGGCAATAGTACCCAACCCCGGCATGGGCTAGAGTACACAACCCCGACATGGGCTAGAGTACCCAACCCCGACATGGGCTAGAGTACACAACCCCAACATGGGCAATAGTACCCAACCCCGACATGGGCAATAGTACCCAACCCCGGCATGGGCTCTCAATAGTACCCAAGTCACAGGTCTGTAGTAGTAGTACCCTGGAACCCAAGTCACAAGTCTGTAGCACCACAAGTATATTATAGTAACTGTGTTTACACGTTACAACCACTACCAGCCAATAAAAGTCTTGCACATTATAACATGTCAAGGTGCCACATTTCCAGGCACATTGTGGCAATGATGAGTAAAAGGACACACATGTACAATATAGGCATGCCCGCCTATAGTAAATTACTCACGGCACATATTCCCCCACATCGTCCAGTGACACACTGTGATGTAGTTCAAGTTCAACATCATCGTATTGCACATTGCCCGCAAGGCGAGTTCCTGCTGAACTGGGCCGGGCGGCGGCTCTGGAAGCAGCTGTTCTCACAGGATGTGATAGCTGGCGGTGCTGCAAGCGCGACAGCAGGCTATTTCCACTGACTTGCTTTGTGACAACGTTTTGGTAAGCAACTGGCTCGTCGGGCTTGTGTGTTGGAGAGTCTACCGGCGATGGTGCTGGCGGTCGTGAAGAAGTATCACAGGGTATGCTTTGATTGACAGTCATTTCTGTGTACTCGGGTGGCGACTGATCATTGCCATACTCCGGGCAACGGCTGCTGTTTGATCGCATCATGTGACTGGCTGCATGTCGCGACGATGATGGCAGGGTTGACGCACGGCCGACCTGAGGGCTCCCAGAGCCAGGTGTCTGCTGGCGGTGAGCGAATGGTAGGCTCTTTCCTTTGGCTAGGTGCGAAGGACCATGCTGCAGTGGCTTCTGATCCCTGGGCATGGTCGACGCTTCAGAGAGGGATGAATATTCATATGTCCTGACCAAAACAAAAGCAGGAAACACAACAGTTACCTATTTGTGAGCATGCGAGGTGATAATGCATTGCATTGAGCATTGTGCACTGAGCATTCTTGCAGCAGCGGCAATACCTACCTCGCTGCATAACAACATACAGTGGCTTGTCTCATCTAGGAAACGAGTCAACACACACTGTGACTCAATGATCTGAACAACATGCCCCGGTCTAAAAAAACCAAGCCTAATTGTACAGAAAGTCTAAATCCATTCCAGTACAGACATAATAATACAGTACCTTGATCTTGAATCAGTGGAGAGAGGCATTGTGGATGCTGGTGACCAGTTGAATGATGGCTGCACTGCAGCATGCTGATTGTCCCACGGTCTTTCATTATAGATGATGTTGTCCCAAAGGATTGTTTTCTTGTTCATTGGCGCGTAACCGCCATCAATATCAGTCTCACTGGCCTCAGTCCCGCCGCCCAAACTACTACTGCCATCAGTCTCCTTGGGTAATATTCTACGAGGGAGTGGCAGTGAGGTGCCGGACATTTCCGTGGCACTGGCATAGCCCGAGGTCCCTACGCCGCTGTCACTGTGTACGTGCGTGGGGCGTTTGTCCATGGTCGGCGTGTGGCCGTGCTGTTGTTGCTGTTGCACTGGTTCATATAGGTGTTGCTGCCCCTGCTGCTGCCGTTGTTGTTGCACTTGGTCATACGGACGTGGAGGGTTGTCTGCACTCACAACATCTGAACATTGTTCTCGGCAGAGTGTGTCATAGTTTGCAGATGGTGCAGGTTCCTCTATGATCGGCTTAACCATAGGCGATGACCTGTATGTGGTAGATGCCGAGTGCACAAACCATAGGCATCAGAAGCTATTATGCATGGACTGGCTCTACACAAAGGGTCAGCAGGAGAGGCTCCCTGCAATAAACTCTGATCAATCATCATCAGTCTCACAGAATGTGCATGGGCCACACAAAGCCAGCTGTAATCATCATTGTGTCACTATCAACAAACCTCACTGTGTGAATTTTCCCATTATTTTACGTGCCTATAGTACTGCATACATATGACAATGTATACGCATACAAGAGGGATTGAAGCGTTTCAGCTGTGGCATAGTTTCACGCACACGCGGTCACAGCACATCATTAAAAAAATAACCGGACTACTATAATGAAAGTGCATGTAGCGGAAAGAAGATGCATGTACATGTGTACCACCACACAATAAGAGAGAGAGAGAGAGAGAGAGAGAGAGAGAGAGAGAGAGAGAGAGAGAGAGAGAGAGAGAGAGAGAGAGAGAGAGAGAGAGAGAGAGAGAGAGATAGATAGATAGACAGAGAGAGAGATGGATAGAGAGAGAGAGAGAGAGAGAGAGAGAGAGAGAGAGAGAGATAGATAGATAGAGATGGATAGAGAGAGAGAGAGAGAGAGAGAGAGAGAGAGAGAGAGAGAGAGAGAGAGAGAGAGAGAGAGAGAGAGAGAGAGAGAGAGAGAGAGAAGGTCCAAAGGGAATTAAGTCGTCACTCGGAGTTTCATGCCGAAGCAAGCACCCGGCAACTGAAAAGAAGCCCGGGATTTATCATGCAACAGTTGTGTGGCCAAATTATTTCCGACCCACGTGCAAAAAAACAGTGCTAAGGCGCATGTGGCCCTCAGATTGGTTTTTCGGAACGTGCACTGTGTAATTGAAATGGAAATGCGGCGCTGCTTTTGACTCGCGGGTCGGATTTCTTCGGCCACACCTGTACGTGTATCTATGCCCGAGGCGCCGAGGTGCTGGTACTTGCTGGTGAAGACAGTCAGTATCTATGCCCGAGGCATGGTGCTGGTACTTGCTGGTGAAGACAGTCAAACACGAGAGCGGATGTATGCTACCGCAGTGATCATCCCGGGAAATGAACGCCATCCCATCAAACAAGGTGCAGGTAGAAAACATTGTGTGGATGACCAGCAATTGTGAGTTCCGATAATTGAATGTCCAGTACAGTCATGTACATACAATGCGACAGCTTACTGAGTGTAATTCGGGTTGACATCCATGTCACCTAATGAGACCCCCGACAATCCTGTAGGAAACCTGATAACACACACACACACACACACACACACACACACACACACACACACACACACACACACACACACACATGCACAGATCAAAATTAATGATGCATACACATGCACCCACCCACACATAGGCACACATAGACATAGACACGGACACAACCACACACACGCACCAACCTACACAACCATAACGTTACATAACCCGATGCATGGACGCAAAGGCAAATGACTGTTTACAGTCTTCTTTGGTTGAAGCACACACACACACACATACATACACACACACACACACACACACACACATACACATTTATTGTTATGAGAACAGACGTGCTGTGACTTACGAGCGATGCCGAACCACCCCTGAGACTGTGGTGCCAGGCTGACTTTCCTTTTCTTTGACTTCCTTCTCCTTGACTTTCTTCTCTGCATGGCTGCGTGTGACAAAGATGGTTATAAAAGCAATACTAAATACATGTACCGTAAAATCCCGCCCCTCCCTGACTTCTTGTCAGGGACGTGATTGATTGTATCCTCGTATGACTCTGTCACAGTCTGTGATGCCGTACTGTACCGCAGACGCGTGCTCGATCCCATTGGAAATGTACGCAACAGTGCCCACCCTCTTGACCAGGGATCGCACAAACCCTGAGTTTTGACAGGTCTGTACGACTCCTGGCTCTTGACCTTTGGTCGGTGTACGAGATGCACGAACAGTTTTCGTACTACGGTAGGGTGAGTACTTTTTCATGTACAGTACGACTCGTACTGAATGCGGCAAGTAGGACTCGCCCATCCCCCCCCCCCCCCCCCCGAAGCGTCGAGGAGGTAGGGGCGCTCTGGCGGGATTTTACGGTATGTGTAATACACAACCCGAATATGCAATTTTATTTTATGCATGACATGTACTCCATGGAGAGAAGAGTCACGTCACAAGTTTCTGGTAGAACATACTGGTGCACTGCACATGCACTCCAGACTCCTGATCCGAATTCTGCACATGCACTTCCAGACTCCTGATCCGAATTCTGCACATGCACTCCAGACTCCTGATCCGAATTCTGCACATGGACATCAGCAGCGAGTGGCAGTAGTAGCTAGGGAGACGACACGAGATCAGAGCCGAAACCATGTGCAACTTGACCCCGGATTTGGAAGTTCTACGTGACTGGTGGTGTGTGTAACTCACGATCACAATCGCGGCCTTGACTTGCCGACACCAAGCGCGGCCCAGACAAGCGATATAAATCTGCCATGCCCCAAGGGCGACTGTAACGGGCAGCACGGGGCAGAAACCCCCCGCAGGATTTAGTGTTACAGTCGCCCGTGTCGTCTCCCTGCAAGCTACGACTCCCTGCAAGCTACGACTCCCTGCAAGCTACGACTCCCTGCAAGCTACGACTCCCTGGTGTATATGCATTAGACATACATGTGTCCAAAAAAATCTTGCCGTCAAGAATGGCATTAGAACATATCGTGACCTAACGATAACTGATGGTGTTCACTATAAAAAGTATACGGGTATTAAACTTACTTGGCACGTTTTTTGTAATGGCTGCATAGTGCAATCAGGAGAGCGCAGATGAGCAGCAGCAAAGCACATCCGCCAGTCAGCCCATAGATAAACCAATACGCCTCTGTACGAGCATGGGTAAATTGAGTCACATAGCACCAACCCGCACACATGCACACACACGCGCGCGCACATACACGCGTGCACGCACACACACAGACACACACGCCCACCAGTGACACCAGTACACACTGCTCAGACGCCCAGCGTAGTGCAGCACACATCACTACAGATGGGTACAGCCAGCAGATGGCAGAGTGTAATCTATATTGTACTGACAAAAGTACTTCTTTTTGAAGTAAGTGCACGTGGTCTGCACCATGTCACTTGTCAGCTGGGCGTGGGTGGGTGCACAGCAAGTTAGTCCCACACTTTACTAAGTTAGTTTAGTACTCATCCACCCAGCACATGACTCAGGATGTGAAGGTCAAGATTAATATTGATATCATCATCCTGTCTGTGTACCACTGGAATCAACACGCGTGTACCTAGAAGATTTACAAAGCATGACACTACGGCCTACTGAGGACAACAACAACAACAACAACAACAACAACAACAACAACAACAACAACCACAACAACAACAACCACAGCAGCAGCAGCAACCATTGTGAGAAAAAAGAATTCAAACAACAACAACAACAACAACCATAGCAGCAGCAGCAACCATTGTGAGAATAAAGAATTCAAACAACAACAACAACAACAACAACAACAACAACAGAGACAACCCACCAGCAAAGCAACCCATGCAAGCAGCATACTGTAAACTGCCTAATGTTTACTAATTTTGCGAGAAAAGCACAACGCAAATATTAACCATCGCCAAATCAAACTTCAACAGTGGGTATACGCGTGCGGCCATAGTGCTCCGCGAACATTTTTCATCGTAAACCTAGTACCTGTTGGTTCTGAGAGATGGCAAAAATTTAGTGACGCAAACATTGGGCGGTTTACAGTACCCTGTTGTGTTAGGCTTGTTTCCCTGGCTACAGCACGGCTTGTTTCCCTGGCAACAGCACGGCCACACAGACACTGCATAGGTACTTAGACAAACTGGCTTTTGGGCGGACCACTAGAACATTGACAAAGTCTGTTATGTAAACCCTCACATTGACAGTGATCCTGTCACACCACACCACACTCTCTCACACACACACACCTTTGGATCTTTGGAAAGCCCATCGCCAAAGGCGATGATAGCTATTAGTATTAGCCTTAGGCGAGGCAGTAGTTCTTGTGTCGGGATAAATCGTTCGGACGGCGAAAGTCGCGGCCGCAGACACAGACGAACACTCTTTACACACAGACACACAGACACACACACACACACACACAGACACACACACACATACACACACACACACAGACACACACTATTGGACCTGTTACAAGCACACTGGGACAGGTGGTAGCCCCAAGCCACACAAGTAAGCTATGCACTAACATTAGCTGGCATGTGCGAGACCGCGCCTCCTGTCATGACCGTTGACGTGCGGACAAACCTGATAAAATCCGACAGGCTAACAATGATGATTATCGTCTGCTGACAGAAGCCACACCATTCCTGAGTACTACTCTACTCAGTCGTAATACGCCGGTAATTTTCCCGCCAGTGCAAGTTTAGATGGACTACACTACAATGAAAACAAATTCTACCGGTGTCGACTAGCACAGTATTATCAGAGGAGGATTTGATGTTGTGCATCCGGCAACCGGTGATGTGTAAGTGCATGCGTATTACTACCCAGTGCAAGTACACACGATTGTGTTCAGAATTACAACTGGCAACTGGCTTAGAGAGTTTTCCTTGTGGCAGGCCACAGACATGCCTGATTGCGCCCCTATATTGGTGGCGAACGCAGTGCCTAGTGTTGGTGAGAGTGAAGATGCGAACCTCACAACCAAGTTCCTGACAAGGGGCAACATGGGAAACGCCTTCTGTGCCAAGCCAAGACAGTGCACAAAAACGCAGACAAACACATTGTACATGCCTGCTCCGTCGACAAGCAAGCAATGCCAACAGAACACATGCCAATTGCCACAAGGAGCCTGCAGCTATCACAGCCCCAACATACACATGGATAAGATAAGTTACAAGCAAGCAGCAGTGGCCAACACTAGACATGGGCGCATGAACAGTTGGAACACACTCTGGAACACAGTCAGATTGGGCACATTGCGTACGGACAACAACCTCCCCTGATCAAAAGCCAAAGAACACTTGCCTGTGTGCCTCCAGAACAGGACCTACTAGATTACTCATGACAGAACACACTCACGACTCAATGGCACGGGGAAATACACAACATTGCACAACTAACGTGCCAGTTCTAAGCTCACAAAAAAGGCATCAGGCAGCGGCTAGTCTTCAGCAATTGTAGGCAACACAGCGTTAATCATTGCACCTACCATCCAGGTCGGCAAGGCATTGGTTTACTCGTACTGTGGCATTCATTTTCGACACAGGTGCAGCGTTGAAGTAGGGCCTCCTTCCTTTCACGCCAGGACTCTGCACATCGCATATCGCCTAGATAAGATCCACCATAGCAGTGTGATGAGCGATAGAAAGCAACTAAAAAAAAACTAAGAGAGCTCAACATAAAGACATCACTAGTCCAGTACTGCAGAGCTGAGCGATGGTTATACTTAGCGGTTGAGGACAGCGTAACACCATTCAGCCGTCGAAGAGTGTAATGCGACAAGATGCGTCCACCACGCACGTATGCACTGCACGGCGCAAGAAATCATGACAGGACAGACCTTGACGCCAACAGCACACAGGCAATTGACAGGCTGACAAGCCACAGGACGACAGGGTTTGACACGTCCACCGGGATTATCGTGCGCTACATCAGCACGCTGTACCAGTGCACCTACAGAATATAGCATACGACTTGTGCGCTGAGGCCTGCCTGCCACGTGCCCCATGCTACGCCTAACATTCTTGACACGGAACGCGTCAATGACGGAAATGTTACTGAAGATCCACACGTTACTGTAGAATACATACGCCAGCACTGCTGGCACTAGTACTGGCACTAGATCAGGCACTACATCAGGCATGATAGAACTGCAGGAGAAGAAGACCCTTCGGCAGCAGCATGCACTTCTCTATTCCCGAGAGCAGCTCCATGTCGTTGAAGGCGCAGCTGTGGTTGGAATGCATACGGGACAGCCTGTGGGGTCCCAGCTGAGAGCAAGGACTGCCCCGTGCTTTACCATCCTGCCATGACTCCCCCGTTAAGCCTACTAACTAATGTACAGTGGCTATGCATGATACAATGGATAATAGTGTGCAAGATCACATCAGCACATGTTACCGGGTAGTATGCACACCAGTGCCCGCACTACAGCCTCATTCACAGACAACAACATTACCTACCGGCGTATGTGCGCACTGCATCAGCAATGTGCTTCAAGCTGTCCGCTGCCAGGATGTGACAGGAGCGCCACTGCATTGCTATGGAGGCTAACGGCGGCAAAGCTCCTGCAAAACCCTTCCACTGTCGGTGATATTACATAGCAATACACACACATACACACACACAGAACACATGCTGAAATCCAATGAGTCAGCAGTCAGTCATTATAGCAACAGTGGCTGACAAAATAGATGGAGAGTGAAATGGGCAAATGGCATACATGTACATATGTCGCCATGTTGGCTGGCCCCTATGACGGCCAGTCAGCCAACACTGGCAGGAGGCCACATGGCATCACGTGTATATAATGCTAGACCTTGCAGCGGTGGCCGCAAGACAGAGGAGACGGATGTCGTGGAGACTCGGCAGCATACGCCCAACTGTCGGCCCTTGGCCCTTCCCTTCATACTAGCAACATTTCACTCGCATCCAAAATTGCAAAATTGTGATATTACACAAGCACACAAACACACATATAATACACACAGTGTGTATGCGCAAGAACACATCCAGCGCAGCGTATAATCATTCACTCAACACAGCATGTACACAGGTTTCGAAAGCAACGTCTCCGACAACGGTCTCTACGCTCCAGCAAATAGCCCTGCAGGTGCAGGAGCATCAATAGCGGCTAGCAGCAGTAGATAGAAAAGAGCAGTATGATTTCAAGGTCACCAAAGTGGAACACAGCCTCGGGCAGATGGTATGATATGGTCATTCAAATTCACAGATAATTCCTGTCATACCAGTATCAAGGAGAACACCCAAGGGTTCACCGCTGACACGATCGGATACATCTGCATCCACCGACTCCCGACAGGTGTGGACACAGTACAGTGGAGAAGAAAGTAAAGAGAAGCTTTTTAAATGCCAAACCATCATGAACACGGGTTAAATCGTGACATTCAGGTGATGCGTACATCGACTCCAGACATGCACACCTGCACACAGTGTCCCACAAGTGTAGGCACTCTTACTCACACCACTCTCCTCAAGCACACCTACCAGAGGTACATGCAGAGAAGGTTTTCAACAAATGAAAGCAGCCATGTTTATCTTAGAGCAGAAACAGCGCATGGAAGACCGACCACTGGATATCCCACTAGCCGTTAACACAATAAGGACACTCGGGCAGGGCACAGCACACACACAGCACACAAAGCTGGGGGCAACGGACGACATTCGTTGAACAAGTCAGGCTAGCTCACCCCCAGCTTGGCACTGTATCATTACTAGCCCTCGTCTTGAATTGAGGACAAACATGATTGAATTGAGGACAAGCATGAATGTATAGACAGAGAACTTACAGAAATACTTCCAGCCATATTATAATCATAGAATGGTGACATTAAGTTGTGATACAACTCACCCTGCCAACAACAGAGTCCAGTCTGATCTCTCAGTTCTCCTATAAGTCTCCGTCTCCCCTGCAGGCATGAGCACAGCCCCAGCCCCAGGGCTGTCTGGGTAAGGTGTTCGCATGGCTTTGGTCACTGAACACAGTCACTGTGTAGTACAGACACGGGCACACATGAGCACACACACACACACACACACACACACACACACACACACACACACACACAAAACATCGCCGCACACTGCAGTGCTGGACGATCTGAACGCCAGAACTTAGGCTGGCACGTCCGGTGAACACTGAGTGTGCCCACGGGCCGGAAGAGATAGACTGGTGCTAACTACACTGACACCAGGTCAAGTATTAACAGTGAAACAACTCACTGCAAGTGCCAGATGCGGTGTCAAAACACACACAGTATGAATCAGTCCCCGCTATAGACACTAGTTCACCCAACTACCCGTTCGGCACACAATCAGCCTGATAAAACGTCACAGATGTCACAGCCCAGCATGTCAGCCCAAGAAAAGACACAAAGCAGCAGCAGTGGAAGACAACTCGACAAACACATACCTAGTACACATTGCTGAATTCTGAAAACTTCGCACAATGAACTCTAGGCGCGGAGATGGAAAGATGTGTGTACGATGGCCAACGCGAGGAGGGCTAGATAGCCTGCAGAACATGGTAACAACAAAATATTCACAACATGAAGAGGCAGCCAGGTGCTTACAAAGCTGACAGGAGCAGCCATTGCACATGAGCAGTAATGACTTTGTAGACATTTTACAGAGTTACTTGGAGTGCAGCATCATGCCGGCCAGGGTGTACGTGTGGGTGAGACAGTCCAAACACCACTTGAGCATCAGAGGGCAGTCAAGAATCAGACTAAGGAAAGTCTACGACAGCACACTCATACCTGTAGCCAGATACATGTAGAACCCATGGTTCCCACAAAGCCAACCTACAAGTAAGGTGAGCTTCAAACAAGATGAGTCAGGCCAGGTACACATACTAAAGAGAAATTGCAACAAAATAAAACCAACTAGTGAACATCTCCGCCTTTCCACTGCAGAGCTGACAATAACGTAACTCTGCGCCTGTGTCAAGTCAAGCTGGACTCAAGCGAGAGAAAACAACGTAGCGGTAGGAGACAAGTGGTGAACACACGCACACACACACACACACGCACACAACCAGAGCACCTGGGGATAGTTTTGGCAAGTCCACCTTCCTGTATATCCACAAATCGAGTGTCAAAGATAAGTACTATAAGGTATGAAGAAGCAGGAGCAGGTGGACAGTGGTAAACAGCGCATATCACTAGATCAATAAAATGATACTAAGACAAAGGGGAGAAACAATTATAAGAAAAAAGTACAGAACAAGATTCTGCTAGCTTACTACAATAGAAACATGTACAAGTATAAGATTGGTGTCATGCATGCATGCATGCATAGCAAAGCATTGCATCATGTACTCTCAAATTTAGCACAGGAACCACAACCTCTCATCGCGTAATGATTATGGCTGCCAAGGCCACCCCAGAAATAAAAACAAAAAGCAATTAGGTGAAATCAAAAGCAGCGCGCGTTACAGACAGACAACGGGAGGACTGACAGCCGCCAGCAGACACAGCACAATACGGGGGGGGGGGGGGGGGCTGGGCCGAGGACCAGGCTCAGGCCAGCGGAACTCTGTGAGACCTGAACCTCATACGGAGCAAATAGCCGGTGGCAAGTGCAAGGAAGAGGAGCAACACACTACTACCCACATGACTCGTGTCTAACCAGAGTGCTTGTGAGCAAACACACTCAGACAGATATGGTAGGCAGTCAGAAAATGAAACTACAAAACACTAAACGTAAAGCAAAGAGGCCTTCGTACAGACCATATTTAAGTTCCTTGCCCATTTCTTTCTCTCCGGTCCAGACAAATGGACGTGCAGAAACAGGCAAGCCCAGCAGTCCAAGGGCTAACTAAACGAAGCTTGGCAGTTGTGGCTAGACCTGGCTAGCAGTAGGATACCTAGGTGTTCTTCACCTTGCCTGGAACATAGTTCTTATCAACCTCCTTATCTTGCAGGAACATGTGTAAGCACTTCTCGTTCTGTGCGAGTGGATGACCCGATACCCTGCAACAAGCAGCAACAGGTGGGCACAAAGGCAAGCAGACACCAGCACACACCAATGAGCAACACCAAACACACCAATGACCACATTGCATAGTGTCGTCACAGGCACACTCGCAACAAAGACTCCTTAGTAGAGTCGTTACTAAGCCAGCTGTGCAGAATACTCCCCCAAAATGCCATTCCCGCACTCAGGCGCTCCTATTATGCAGGGCCAAGTGATCGGAAAGGACGCTATTAGTCCTGATTCTAGGGGTCCTGTGGGACAGGCAGTTACTGTATTAATATAAAGCACATGAACACAACGTGTATGCTACGCTATTTTCAAAAACACCGTTTTTCCAGTGCCTGCAGTCGCAGCATCAGCGCAGCCCCGATTTGCCCCCCCCCCCCTTTTATCAGTTGCCATTGAAAAACTTCTGATTCAGATGCTGACGCAGCATTTCTGACGTAGTGTGACCGAGGCCTAAAGCAATGGGAGGCGAGTGCTTGTAGGTCAGACCCACAACAAAGTGGTCAAAGAAGAAAAGTCGATTCTGCTGCATCTACGTTACCCTCGTGCCAAGACATGCATGCCCAATGAACTATGGGTTGCAGCACGGTTGGGAAAAGCCCTCCGCTTCCGAGCAGGATTTGAACCATGTGCCTACTGTTTCTCAGTCATGGTATAGAGCTTTTTCAAGGACGGACCAACGGTCATTTTTTGGGATTATGTCGAATTTTTTTGAATAGCTGGTGAACAGGTGAAGCCCAGGTCAAATTCAGGCTGTATGGGAATGGATACGTGGAGGTGAAAGAAGCACTAGGACAGCGCTCAACTTCATGTTCGTCGCTCGTGTCGAGTCAGAGCAGCTGCCAAGAAGCCCTTCCATGGCTTGGACGAAAAAGAAAAAGCTTCAAAATCGCTCCAACCGCTGGTGGAGACGAACCTGTTACAGTTCGTATATTTTTCCATGCGCGACCTGTTCACCACAATCTCGGGGTGAGTGCCAGTGACAGGCACATCACAGCGTCCTTGAAAAAGCTCTGTCAGACCATCCAACTATGGTCTGCACAGCGTGCATTGTACTCTAGCAAATATGGTTGAGTATATTTGACAGACCATCACTTACTTGTTGACAAAGATTTCCAAAGCTCCCCGTCTCTCCTCAATGAAGTCATCCTCAAAGATACCTAGAGACAAGTAGAGAGGAATACAACCAGCAACAAACCTAAGCAACTGGTAACACACACCACCAGCAAAGTCAGTTCATATCAGAATAGCCATGAGTAACTGTTAGGCCCAGCCCTACAATCACCTTGTAGATCTGCCATGTACTAGTTCAAGCCGCAGCACGCAGATCAGTGAGTGGCAGTGTAGACATTACTCTGAAGCGCTGAGCACCTGCACACTATCAGTGATCACACCAGTAAGTCAGACAAGGGTGCCAAATCACAAACTCACGCCGAGTTCAGGTCACGGTCCGTGCATTTATCGTTATACACGTATGCTCTCAGTTGCACACGGCCGCATGATGTCCTTCACCTGGCTGTAAAGCTAGGTGAGGGAGTACTCTGACAGCACATTATGGTAGTAGTACTGTCCATGCACTAGGATAGAATGGGTGAGGGAGAATGTGTGTGTGTGTGTGTGTGTGTGTGTGTGTGTGTGTGTGTGTGCCAACCTGGCGGAAGGCGACCTTCTTGTCAAAGCATTCGGAAGTTGGATTAGTTTCGGCTCCACAATCCAGTGTTCGTTATTATTATAGATTTCATGGCTGAGGTTGTTGGTATGTCTGTTGGCTCTGGGTTCCAAGTACTCAGTAGCCGAGGCTGGTTGGTAAAGTAACTCCAATTTCACTTCAAGGTACCAGTGCATCTAGTGTCTGCTTCTATCAAAGCAGCGTGTTGTCTATACTGGTTACCCCAGCAAGTGTATAGGGGTAACTGTCTTCGCCGTTTTATGCCGATGTACTCCGTGTGGTGTAGACCAGGCGTGCATTGGTGGTCGATTCACAAGGCTTCGCAGGTTGTGTAGATTAGACAGTTATCTGGCACAAGTCTTAATCTGCCTCATTCAGATCTTGTCCGCTATCGTTGCTATACGAGAAAATCTGTGGGTGCACATCCAGTGCAATTGCAGATTTGCGTGCTTCTCTTGCGACGGGCATATACATGGTACATGGTGTGTGTGTGTGTGTGGGGGGGGGGGGGGGGGGGGTGACTGTGTGTGTGCACTTGCTTCCAAGCCATCAGCACAGTCCCGACTTCTCACTGTACCAGCATATTGTACGCCATCAGCAGCACAATGCATAGCACCATCCAAGCTCAAATAGGCATGCACCACCCTTGTGTACAGAGCTACTTCAAGTAGTATCACCAATACAAGCTGTGTTCAAACTCCATTCGCCAACAATTAACAACGCAAACTGCTCTTAACTTCCTATTTTACAACACGCCAACATACAACTTACCATCATCTGAACGGAAAGGCAGCAACCTCTTCAGAGCCTTACCAGGCAATGCTGGCACTAAGATCTAAACCAACACAACACATACACAAGGAAACAATTGTCACATGAATACCCCTCAAAGGAAAGGGGCAGTTGGAACACAAGCACAACACGTACGAGTGCAGCAAGTTTCTCAGAAGACATCATACTCTAATGGCGATCTGGCGGAGAAATGGTGGTAAAAATACACCTTGCGAAACAGCAGTAAATACATGCCAGCACACACAACGCTCTCCAAGGTGATGGTGATGGTGAGAGAAGGAGTGCTCTTTGTCAGAACTCTGCAGCTTAGAGAGTGATGTGTGGGCAGGCGCATATTTACCACCATTTCACCACTATAATTATAATAATGATGGTGCACTGGAGTCTTCACATCATTCTAATAATGGCAATCTCGTGGCCTCAGGGGGAAAGATCGCAAAGTCCAAGAGGCGTTCACAGTAGACGTCCTTACCTTACTATCCCGCTCGAGCTCTGATCTTAGCCATTCAAAATCGCTGTACCGCCTCCGAACTGTTGATTCCTTCAGGATAAAAATGGGCAGGTTGGTCTGGAGGAAGAAAACGAGAAACAGAGGAGAGCCACTATAAGCAGAGCAACGCAGGACAAGCACAGAGAGCAGACATTGGGTTCCAAGAACTTTGAAGTACACACAGATGGTCACACTTTCTCCTGACTGGATACAAGACCGAAAGACGGACAAAATGAGCGAGACGATTCAGGAAGAAACTGTCAAAAATAAGCTCCAACCCAACAACGAATGCAATTCACGAGGCACCATTGCCACCATAGCTACATGTAGCCTTCTACCAAGAATCCATGGACTCTTGCAAACTACTTGGCAATGTTGTGAACAGCATGCCTCCTAAACGGTATGGTATCTATGCATAAGACATGGCTGCAGCCTTTCCGTGGGGTAACTTGTCCCATATTTGGCAGGCACGGTTGAGGGGGACTTTCCCCGCAGAGCTAAACGATGGGTACATTGTACACTATGCATAGGTTATTATGCACAAGCTTACTTTCAGTAGGTATCAACTGGCAACAGGTAGCCATTGAAACACAACGAATTTTATGCCAAATAAAATAGCGGGCTTCACAGGATTCATGCGATAGGATGGTGCGAGGTCTTCGAATCAAAACACCCAGATCGCCCACATGGCATAGCTCACACAGCCATCACAACTGGATGGTCAATCAGTGATACAGATGCCAATCTTCATAAGCTTTCTAGAAGTTGTACGCAGAATACAGACGCTTCGAGGTGTTGGGCCTATTACAAACAGGGGCTTATTTTAGGAAGGGGGCTTACAATTTATTATTACCATAACACCTCGCAAACACTTTCAAGTTTCGGAAGATACACGTTCATTTTACCATAATGTGAAGTTAGCTGGCATCGCCGTCAGGTATCAGACACCGTAGAATCCTGCGGATAAGCCCACCCGCGTATAAGCCCATGCTCGCGCGTAAGTCCAGGCCAAGTTCAAACATCGCGAAGTTTAGTCGTACAAGCCCATGGGCCTAGGTCGTACCAAGAGTCAGAATTATGGACTCTTGGTCGTACCATGTACGTAGTACATGTAGTTTTTTGTACATTTCAACACAATCAGCGGTTATTTTTGGTTTGCACAGTGGCTTTCAGCAATGTACTTCTCACTTCCTTGGTACTTTTCAATAGCATAGTTTTGGTGTCAGCGTATAAGCCCATGCCCGCGTATAAGCCCATGTTCTTGTAATAGCCCACCGAAATGTCCTTGAGAAATCGCATGGGCTTATCTGCGGGATTCTACTGTTTTCACATTCCGACCAATGTACAGTGTGTGGTACATGCTTGAAGCTGACATCAAGACTACATAATCAAGAGGGTGCAACTGTAATTATGGGTCAATGCGTGGCATGCTGCCTTCATTACGCAACTCGCCTGCATCACACACTGTACTCATGCACTCAAAAAACCCAATCTCTCCTACCAGCACCGCCGCTCTTGCCTGATTCCTTCCAGTACTGACGCGACCTCTTAATTTTTGATGCATGAACTTCAGTTCCGTGCGAAAGTTGGCTTCAAACCACAAGGAATGTGTGGTGTTCGATTTTCCACAGTGCACAGATATAGCTACATGATTGTAGTGAAGGCGGCGTGTCGTGCACCTGCGACCTGGCCCATAGAGAATAGATCACGGTGGCACACTCTTGGTTACGGACACTTTTCGACATGGTGCCATTTGATAACTACATGATGAATCATTGGATTTCAAGTCTTGACTTGTAGACTATAATAACTAAATAATACACAAGCAGAGTCCCTCGCCGATTGAAGAGTGCTCAACGCCGTGAAGTGGAACCCGTACACACAGAAGTAGAGAGAGAGGAATTTATAGCAACAACTCAAAGTGTCACGCTCTCGGCATCTTCAGGCCAGGCTACCTGAAAATCGCCCAGAGCGTGAAACTTTGAGTTGTACTGTGTGTATTAGAATAAATAAAGCCCCCCCCCCTCGCATTTTTGGACTGGATTGAAAATTTCAAACATCTCAAGCCCGGACTTATTTACAGGGCGAAACATATTTTCGTTGCAGGGCCAATGTTGGGAAATACAGTAATACGTGGAAATAATGTTCGTACAAGCATTATTATGTAATGGGTTCCGTCTCAACTGCTCCATTTCTTCAACTACTGCAGCAACCCATCACCGCAATCAACTTATCACCATCCGGACCACCAAGCGCAATGGATGTGGTAGTAGCAAGGGTGCTTTCGTCCACTGCAATCACGGTGTTGCCAACCACCCGCCCGTATTTGTTCGTATTTTTACGGAAATGTAAAGCATTGTCCACAGTACGGATTTGGCATAAGAGTGTAGAAGCGAGCTCTACATAAGAGCAGTGAGCTGGTGCAGGGCCCTGCGTGGCCCTAGTACACTCCGGCTCTAAGGCTGTGTTTACATGAGAAATTTCAACCCGGGTCGAGTTCAGCCCGGGTTGAAAGTCTGTACGATAGACAAAATAGGTGAGCGTTTACATGAAGACAGTTGACCCGGGTCAAATACTGATATGCCGCCAAAAGTCCACTTCTACAGTCCTGCATGGTCACGTGAATCCGTTCGCGCGAAATTTGCATCTGCAGTGCTGTTCAAACCTGGCGCGAGATACGCACAGAAGTACGTTTGTACGATTTTCTTGACCCGGGTTGGTTTCAACCCTCCCCTTGGGGGGAGGGTTGAAATCAACCCGGGGCGAAATTTCAACCCGGGTCAAGCGCAATGCGTCATGTAAACGCGCCATTCACTTTGTGCACATGGCGGGTTGAAATCTGACCCGGGTCGAACTCAACCCGGGTTGAAACGCCTCATGTAAACATGGCCTTACATGGTGACACCGCGTACAACCTTACAATTGTAGTTGCACTCCGCCATACGATTTTTCTTTCGCTGGCTGTAAATCAAGATGCGGTGCTCTCACAAGAATGGGATATTCTCGCGGTACTTCACAGCTTGTGCGAAACCGGTCGTGGCAGTCGTACCAACAAGTGTTATTCACCAGCACACCCAAGACTGGGTGGGGAGAGTTTCAAAATGAACAAACTAACCTCCCATATTAGGCTATAGTGAACACTCTTCTTTTTCAATTATTCTTAGTGGATCACTGCCCTTGATTGAGAAGGCTTCAGAGGATCAATTGAGAAAATTTAGAAATTTTAGAGAATGCTTGCACTCAAGGCAAATGGAAAGATTTTCACGTCCATGATCTTAGCATCGTCGCATAATACAAAAGATGAAGTGTGTAGAGCACTATGCCCACATAATCGTTCCAACAGCCGATCTGCCTGGCTTACCCTCATGCGAACCTCGTAGTCCGTGTAGCGCTTATTTGCAACACCATGTGTTTCCGGATTGAGCACATCAATCTCCAAAAAGTTAGCAGGCGCTGCATAAGCATCATCCAGGGTTTGTGCGCTCATTGCCAGCCGCTTGGTTTGCTTCTCCGCTACGTCTCCACCTGTCGCCATTTGGCCAATTCAGTATGCTACTAAAAACAATTTTTGTGACAGTGCGGGAACGGATTGACTTGCACTAGTGGAAGCTCCACTGGCACCGGTTGCACAACCAACCAAAACACTAGAGGTGAATGCCCTAAAAGCCTATGTTGATCCGCTACTTTTAATTACTACTACTTGGCTTTCACCGAGGATGACAAAGGGACCACGCGAAACGAGAGCTGCGATATCTCTTCTTCCTATTTTTCGTGCGTAGAAATCAAACCTCCGCCTTTCTCAACCAAGCAGAAACGACGTACTTCGCCTCGCGCTCGACGCCGCGGCCGCAGCCGCACACAATGTGGCTCCGTTCCTATGGAAATTAAACATGGCGGGCCCGGGGCCTTGCATACAGGCCCGGCAAAACCAGGCTATAATACAAGCCCGGGTCAACAATCAAGCAAGGCTTACATAACCGAACCCGGGTTTGTATCCCTTTGAGCCTCCTTGGCCAATACAAGGGAGAAATTAGTTCCTCACCGGCTCGGGCAGGGGGTCCTGAAAGACTTTTAAAGTAACCGTGAGTGTTGGCAACGGGGATCTAGGGAGTAGTAAACAGGGCTGTAGCAACCGTTCCGGCCAGACCTTCACTAGGCTTCAGGACCGCCGGAAGCAGCCTTTTTGATCCGGGTCCGACAGGTCACACCCGGCATAGTCTTTCACACTACAGGTCGTCCCTCGTTATAACGAATCCGGTTAGTACATACAGGCCCGTCGGAAGGCGGGCGAAGTTGGTCCGGTTTGACGGGAGTCCGGGGGATCTCCCGCGGGTAGTTTTGGAAAAATCCGGTCAGACTGAATAGCAGAATTTGGCCCTTTCAAGTTTTCAAAGCCCACTACAGAGAATAATTGTGCATGGATATCAATGGACAATGTATGGCCTACTATAGTATGGGAGCATGTACAAATGTATGCAGGATCGATAATACACAGTGTACATGTACCCAGAATTTCCCCGGTTTATGAATCCCAGGGGGTGACCTGAGCCAGAGTTGGTCCGGTGCCTTTTGCATCCAGAGATTATCTACTAACGAGGGAGGAAGGTTGTATTATTATTATGATGATATAACGAGTCACGGCGCATAGCCTGCTCAACAGTAAACATGCATTGGTGGCCAACACTTGAAGTTAATTGGTCTGGTGATGACCTGACCACATTGAACCGAACCGGTTCCGACGGCCCCGGGCCTGACCTTATTTAAAAAAAAAAACTTGACGGCCCACCCACAGAAATCCATGCACTGGCACCCGGCATTATTTTGCCTGAATACTGTTCAGTCTGGTCAAGTATTAATTATTTATTCCCTTTTGGCCGGACTCGTGACCTGAAACTTGATTCTGGTGCTACGGCCCTGGTAAAACATCTGTATTTTACTACTCCCTGGCTGGCAGTGCTGTAGACGAAGTCGGAGTACTAAAAGTGACCCGGTTTCCCTGCTGTAGACCACTCCCGCAGCTAGCCTGGGCCAGTACAACCCTTGGGCCTTAGGGCAAGGCTTTGGTTGCCCTGGCCTCGGCCCGGACCGCTCGTCGAATCCGTTCACAATATTTGCAGCAACCAGAGAGAAAGAGAGAGAGAGAGTGTGTGTGTGTCACAGAACAAGTCGGAATAGACCCGGCGAACTAGCCGCTATTTACCAAGGCACCAGTCGCGATGGCTAGCACCAGAGCCTAAGGCTTCTGCCAACTTGTGACTGCAGTCGCCCGTCGACATGTCAACAAAGGGCATTGGTCCCCAAATGATACATGACACATGATGTATCATTTGGTGGAATTGGCAAAATTGATACATTGTATCAATGTTGGCACACGTCACATGGGCCCCCGGTGACTGTCACTATCAACACTCTCTGGTCATCGGATACTTATAAGACAGGTCTCACTGAGCAGACTCAACCGATTTCACAATCTCGGCCCAGATGCGCTGGGCGCGGGGCAGATTGCTTGCTTGACGTGGTCACGCGCGTCGGAGAGCTGTCCCGGCTGAGTACAGAGTGGAGTGCCGGAGATGGACACTGTGTCACCAAAGGGAACAATGGGGGCGGGTGAAATGGAACGATCCACAGCCACGGTCCGGTTGGCCAAGTCATCACAGGACCCGGGCTGGCAGCGTTTGGTCCACCAACACGTGTTTACTGCTGAGGAGGTTGTGTAGCGGATACAGTACCATACACTATAATCATGATCGTTACACAACGTATGAAAGGCTATGGTTTGGCCGGATCAATCAAGAACTGCTTGCAGCGGTCCGGCTGAGTGCTTCCCGGTGAGTAGAGCTTCCAAACATATAAGACAGAAACAAGTCTCAGCTGCAATTCGATTTTCGTGCAAAAAAACAATCTTTGGGCAACAATTCTTACATACAATGTACACACTATGCAAACATACACCAGCAGCATCCACCAGCATCATAAGGTTTTGGTACTGGAATTTCCAAAATTGCCAAATCACTAGGTCTATTCTTTCAAGTACTATAATTATACATGATGCTGCTCGGGTATTGGGGGCTGAGACCATAGGTTGGCTGAGCCTGTAGCACTCCATCGTCACTGCTGGCCGCCACCCCCAGAAATCCCGGCGTGACTCAGTGGGATGGACTTGGAAATCGGATTCCCTGACTTATAGGGTACACATTGGTTTGCATGTTGCCGGGCCACACCGTGACGCCGGAACTGGGGGCCAGGAGTGTCCCTTTCAACCAAAGTTATAGAATTTTTTCTGCAATCCCCTATGGAATCCTCTTCCAATTATGTTTCTGAAGTCTATTTCGCCAAAAGCAAGCCCTAACAAGAATAGGATTTCGGCCAGGTTTTGCCCCAAAAGCACTGAGTTGGGGAAAACCATCAGAATCCAGGCCGTTTGACCCCGCCCGCAACAGTGCACTTCGAACCCCAGTTTGGGTACCCTTTTTGGACCTTTTTCCAATTTCCAATTTTGCAGCACTGCACTGTGTACGATAAAATCACGAAAAATCGCCAAATACAGGAGCTTGCCGGAGCCAGGGCCCATCTTTTTTTAATGGACTGTAGTGCGGATTGCTAAACCAGAGAGGATCTGATATACAGTCAACTTTGCGTATAGCGACACTCGGCGGGGCATCAGAAAAGTGTTCTTATTCGCGAAGTGTCGCCACACGAAGTCTCATTATATGTATTACAGTTAGATGGGACTTTGCTCTGGGCATGGAAATTCTGTCGTTATATCCGCAGCCGTTATTAGCGAAGTTGACTGTAGTCTATAGGCTTCACTAGCACCATTGATCACACGATAATTTATCTAACCAGAAACTACCCCCATCAACACACATGCATACACACAAGCACGTGCACACATACATTATACTGACAAAGCTTGGCGTTGTAACCATTTCTGTTTGCCTTCTGTGTATATCAGATCTCGAAACTGGCAGTACAGCTAGCCACGCGGCTGAATTGGTCATGAGTGCAGGCGTGCAGCTGAGTTGTGCTACTACGGGCAGACTTGTCGGATTTACAGTAGTGGTGAGTCGGACATCCAACCCCTGGCTAACAGGTGCAAACTGCGGCAAAACAGGCTGCTACTCATGACATGTATAGCACTTGAACACAAGTGTACAACGGAAGGTTCTTTTTTTTCAGCTGTATCATTGCCAGTTTTATGTAACTTTTTTTATTTTTAATGGATACATAATGTTATGCAGTTAAAACTTCTGTTATCCAGGCATTCAAATACCGGATGTACCTGCTCCGAGGCTGCGGCCATGAAGAGCTCATGCGACGAGTCAGTTTGATCAGCAAAGGCAGGCACGTTAGTCTATGAAAGGACAGAAGCAGCGCAGCATACACACAGACACACACACACACACACACACACACGCACAGATGCCCAACGCTGAAGCGATGATAGCGAGCAACCTATCTCGTGCTGAGATTACACCATTCACTGAACAGCTTGCAATGCTGATGAACTGACCGCCACTACAATGTAATGTTAGCCATGATGGTCTCCATCACACAGCTGATAGAACGGCGGCTTTTTCCGGCCAGTGAATCCCTATTTTTCCTTCTTCTTTTTTTCCGGACACACACACAAGACAACACACTACTAGTACTCCGGCATGCACTGGTTGTTGCTACCCCCCCCCCCCCCCCCCCCACACACACACACTGACACACATGTCCCGATGATGGGTTATGCAAATAATGCCATGGTGGTGAGTCAGCGAATTCGCTTCTGGACGCTAATGCACTTGGCGTGAGTCAGCAGACTCGCTGGAGTGGCAAATCAGCTAGCGCATCGCGACTTAGACTCCCTGTGCGGCTAACGATCCGGAAAATACAGTGACGCTGCTGACCCGTATTCCTAAGTTCGTCACCACAGTGCACCGTGACCTGAAAGAGACTGACTGAGCTGGTAGAATTCTGCCAGCTACTTGAAGTAATAGTAAATTAGTAATACATGTACTTCTGCCACAGTAGAGACTGTCGCAGTATGTAACGACGTTATATGTCACACCCGGTGACCCCTCACCCTCCCCCCCCCCCCCCCCCCCATAAAATGTAGAATGTCAGTAGCGTAATAACAAGGATCTAGGACGTCCGGGGAAACGAGTGTACAACACCCTCTCCCCCATCTTGGATATCCTACATGTAGCGCACCTACCATGCATACCACATGATGTCCTTCACTTCACTTGCCCCCCCCCCCCCCCCCACCAAAGATACTTTCATTCCGCACCTTTCGGCTTTCGCCTCCCGGCCCCGCTTACCCTTGTCCGAACTTCGTAATCTGTGAACCGCTTCTTTCCAACGCCGTGAGTTCGTGGCTCCACGACAACGACCGACATGAAGTTTTCACCCACTTTGGTACCACCATCATCAGGAACTGTAGCGCTTGCTGTTGTTGGCTCCTTACTTTGCCAACTACTGTCACCTTGGTCACTGTCCGCTGTGCCTCCACTCGACGCCATTACATACTCGCTGTGACTAAACTTTTGTCTGCTGATCTATGAGAGCTTGAGCAGCAGGCAAAATCCTCACAATCAACGAACATGGCACGCGTAACCGCGTAAGCGATCGGCGCAAGGAACACAAGCAAAATGGGAAATTCTTTTTGATTTGAACGAAGTTACTTGAAGAGACAGTGAGAACTAGAAGTCCACTTACACGGGCACAGATGCAGAGCGTCCACCATCTGCATCAGATTCTGGTCATATCAGTCGACGTCGAAATCGACTACTACTACTACTAGTACTACATGTACTACACTGGGAATGCGATTTTAGACGGAGAAAGCCACTTGCTGCAGCAGCGGCACGTGCAGCGCCTGGAGACTCTCGGGCCCAACTGCTGCATGCTGCGGCTAGATCTGCGACGGACCCGGGGGTACAGTACCCGGTACCTTTGCCGGGGCGGTACTACACACGTGTACCGTAGTACAGACTCAGTACTACTACTAGATCTTTCCCTGTTTTCAAACAATCGAATTTTTTATTGGCATGTACATTTTGTGATTTCACTTCGGAGCTTCCTTGACTTGATTGTGGCGAACAACGCTATGTTTCTGTGTAAATTGTAATACGCCATCAAGGTCCAAATGGCAGACGTAGATAGAGTTCGAATACTGGTAGTCGGAGATTCTGGTGAGCTCTGAGTATTCACTTGATCTGCTCATAGAAATGACTGGTTTCTATTTTATATATAGTTGCAAACTTTTTGTCGGGAATCATTCTGCTGTAAGCAGGTGTTGGAAAATCATCTCTAGTGCACTTGATTTGCCACGACGAACCTCTCCTGAAGAGCTCATGGACAGTAGGCTGCTCAGTCGACGTGAAGGTAAAAGAACTGTAGCAGAGCCGTAATAATTTTTAGAAAACCCTGATGCTGCACACCAGTAAATTGCAGCTATTGACCATTCCCTGTGACAGTCTGACCAAATACGAAATACGGTTTTGTCTTCAACTGTTGATTGTTGAAGATCTTTGGAACATCGTGAAGCTACATCATCAGGAACATGATGAGGATTTTTGAGGAGTCCTCCATATTATTCAGATGTCCAATGCAGATGCCAGGCACAGAGAGAACAGTCTGGGTGTTCCCATCAATGGGAAAGCCACTTTCACATGAATGAGCAAGCACACACGTGACACAGCAGCTGACATATGTACGCGCACGCGTGCGTGCGCACGAACACACGAACACACGCACACACACACACACACACACACACACACACACACACACACGCAGAAGCCGCCAAGATATTTAATACGCTGTACTTCAAATGAAGTAGTCTGGCCAGGCAGTATTTGCAGTATACCTGTATGTCTAGATGCTTTGATTCCAAGTCAGTTGGATCCGTGCTGGCTACTTTGGTGCACATCATGATCATGGTCACTAAACTCCAGGTCATTTACAATGCACGCCTGTGCCCGGGCGTTGTACTTAAAATAGGTCATCCGTGTTCAGCAGAAAGGGTTTGCTTGAGACGGCTTGGTCACGCGGGGATTTAGATTGCGTGTCGCGTTGGTTAGGTTTCTTGTGAAGACTCTGTGTGCCTATGTCTGCGTGCGTGTGGATGCATCAAATGTGCACAGCTCTATGAGACCTCCGTGGCACAGGGCACTACCAGTAAGACGTTCTGCATTGAACTCTGGGAAATTGGCGGCTTTTCTGGGCACAAGGGCAGCCGTTCCATTTTCTATCAGCCCTGCCATGGTGAGTCCATATACATTATACCGGTAGCTTGTGTTTATACATAGTGTGTGTTGTGCGGGTTAAAACTTATTAACTTAATAGTATCACTTGTGAGCTTTTGTAAAGGAGAGGGGGGGGGGGGGGGGGAGATTTTGAATTGTGTGGAGCGAAAGTCAATTGAAGTGCCAGTGATTATAGAATCGAATAGCTTTCTCGGAAATATTTGAAAAGGCGGCGAGGTGACAAACGTTTAAGGATGGCAATAAACAGAATCGCCTGAAATGATGCTTCAGCTGATTCTGTTTATTGCCATCCTTAAACTTTCTCGGAGATACGAATCTTATCAAGGATATGTTTCATTGGTTCTAGTTTCTAATATTTCACTTGAAGAAAATGCCCGAAAACTAGTTTGTGGAGTTTCTGAGTCCTGATTGATGATGGTGGTGAAGAGCTTGAAATCTGTAGTTTTTCTTTCCTTGATTGCAGGATCAAGGGCATTCCCAAGCTTATGCTGAAGGTGTATGTCGACACGTGTGCCTGTGCACTCTTTCGTGCTTATTCGCACTTACTATGTGGCCAAATGCCAAGAGACGTTGGTCACGAGTGAGCCTGGTACAGCCGGGCATTGCCAGGAGATTCAATAGTAGATATGCGCACAAGCATGACCAGCAAAGCAAGGACCCATGAGCTCATGTCTTCTTGTATCTAATCTAGCATGATGACTCTGCTGATAGTTGATGGCATGTTTTGTCCATTCCAATAGTAGGTGCTATTTTGGTATTCTCCGTTCTGGTTTTAGGTCTTATCCTGGTCCACGACCTGACGAATTGGAAGTCTCACGCAAACTTGAGCAAGTGGCTGACTGAAGTCACCCAAGCAGATCAAAGTGGTACCGGTATGTACGATACGCCCTAATGTGTGTTCTCGGTTTTTTTACTCTCTCTCTCTCTCTTTCTATATACTCAATTTGCGGACAGCATGCTGTTTCGTTCTTTGTGAACTCATCAGCGCAGCTCCTCGGCTTTCATCTTGTTGAACACTCTCGGTAGGCTGCACTAGTGCTGCTGCATTACGCATTGCCTGCTACTTTTCGTAGTCGGATCACTCTGGCGCTAGAGCGACGAGCTATCTTTAAAATGTCTTTGGTGCCTCCTTTGCACCATGGCTGGTAGCTCGGCTTGCTTCAAGCTGTACTGATGAGGCCTTTATGGCTGAAACAGCTTGCTGTCTACAGCATTGGGTATATATAAGGGGTCGTCCATAATTATCGAACTTTTTTCACAAAACGAAATAATTTCGTTATGGGGTGGGAGGGGGTTGACCAATTTCGTTTCAGAAAACATTGATACATGTGCATGCCCATAGGAGCAGTTACACACTTGCAACTTTTGTTGTATTATGCATGCATATGTCAAACTTTGTTTACGTTCTGAGGGGGAGGGAGGGAGGGGTTGGGTCTAAACTAAAATAATTCGTTTGGTGAAAAACGTTCGATAATTACGGACGGCCCCTAAGTTATAATTATAATTTTATAAGAAGAAAAGAGGACCAAAGAGCTATAAGTTACGCTAGAATATCCTAACACCACCAGGCACTTTACAATCAGCTCATGTGATAACATTGCACGACACTGACCAGCGGTACCGACGTTCTACACCTAACTGGCAATCAGCTGTAGCACGTCTTGGATGCGCACTCCAACAGCCTTCCAGCGTGGAAGGTTCTAAGGTGCTAGAGCTGATTGCCAGTTAGGTGTAGAACGTCAGAGCTGATTGTAAAGTACCTGGTGGTGTTAGTGGATATTCTAGCGTAACTTGTAGCTCTTTGGTCCTCTTTTCTTCTTATAAATTTAACCATTGGCTCTCCACCCGAGTCTATATATATATATATACATACGGTAAAGTCTTGTATAAAAGCCGCACTTGAATAGAAGCCGCCCTCGAATAGAAGCCGCAATTTTGGGCCCATCAAATCACACATAAGCCTGGATTTAGTGTTGACATACATAGAAATACCTGTCTTGTGTAGAAGCCTGTCTCATATAGAAGCCTGCAAAATTTCACCAAGAAAGTCATAGAAGCCGCGGCTTTTATACAAGACTTTACGGTAATATATATTTATATCTCCCTCCTCCCCTCTTCCTGTACCTCCTCTCTGGTCAAGGAGGAAGTATGCAGTAGTTACGCTGTTGCGGTGTACAGTGTGTACTTGTGTTGAGTGGCATCACAAGGTCTTAGTGCAAGGCATGTACTTTAAAGTATGATGTTATTCGCATAACCTCCTCTGTATTCTATTCACAATGCAGCTAGAGTGTACATACAAGTGTAGAGATCATAGTCTCAGTCTGGCGCAGACGAGCACCATAGCCATAGAAATATGCCGTGTTGATCTTGTACATGTACAAGTCCAGTATTGTTGCTACAAGCGGACATGGATTGCCTCTTCCTTTCTGTTCCTTATCGTTCTTGCTTGCTTGTCTAGATGGAGGATTGGAGGCCATAAGGTGAGTACCCTCATTTTCTGTCCGCTCCTCGACCTCTTTTTTTGTTTATATCGTGTCATGCCGAGCCAGTTGCGCTGGTGTTCAACTGAGCAAGGAAATGTCGGATGTTGCTCTTTAGTCTTCATTCCACCCCATCTTACCTGTGAATTGTTAGGGATTCGTGTTTCTGTTTGTTCCTCGCTCTACACAAAGAGCTCAAGTTATGCTTATTCTCACTCTTTTTATGCAGCACTGACTCTGAGCATTTCGGTGCCGACCTCTTCCCGGTGCTCATCATTGGTACGAAACTGGTACGTTGTCCACTTCCTATTGCTCTCGGTGCCTTGTGTACATGTGTGACAATAGAGAATTGTTGCCAGCCCAATACTATGTGTTTTATGGTGATGGAGTACCGTTTTTGTTGTAAATACCTGAAGGTTAGAGTTGACGTCCACCAGTGTATGCCGGCAACGATACGTGGTCCCCATCATTTTGTGTGGTTCTTCAGGGGATGGTGTGTCGGTGGGATTGCAGTGCCATTCGAACTATGCTATGCACGTTTGTCTTCGGACTAGTGGCTGTGGCGGCATCCGCCTTCTCCCGTCGTGTGGTTACATGTGTGCTGTGCCGTGTCTTTGTACATGTATCTTGTTCTACTGTGCCCAAAGGATCAGGTCGGTGGTGTTGGCTCCTTGCCACGACGCAATGCCCTCACGGAGAGGACCGGCGCGGATTCACTGTGTGTGGTGAGTGGCTTTACTCCCCGTGCTTCAGAACGTTGTTGTTGTTGTTGTTGTTGTTGTTGTTGTTGTTGTTGTTGTTGACTTTTATTTTACTTCGGCATGTGTATCTGAAGGTGTGGTCGTTGAAGACTCGTACTCAGACATATCTGACTGTAGCACTGCGATATCGTCAGGCTGCTCATCGTCATCATCACGGTCATCAGCATCCTCATCCTGGTCATGGCATACAGGTACACTATTTGCGAAGCTGGTGTGGCGACGCTTCTCCTCCTCCGAAGCACGTCTGCACAATCGCTTTAACAGTGATTCAATCTGTAAACCAACCTCTCTCTCTCCCGGCGTTTCAATGTCTTGTGGCGAATGCCTGGTATGTTGATGGTGGTAGAAAAGTTATTTACACTGGTCTCGCCAAATCCGCTGTGAACCATGCCTGCACGAGGAAAATAAATGCAGAATTGGAAAGCATCACATACCTAACAGATCAAGACTTTCAAAGCCTTACAATGGTCATTTTGGGAAACATCAACAAGCATCTACTGAAGTAACTTTGAAATTGCATTTCATTGTATCAATGACACATCAAAAAAAAGAGGAACATGCTTACCTGCTGCAACTTTGGTATTCACATCATAAATCCCAGGTCCACGGGATACACCTTTCCGCCTGTGCTTTGTGGAGGTGGATACCACGGTCGCATAGCTGCACCGCAGACATAACAGCTCAAACCGGCTGGCAAGCCCATGTTTGACTTCATCTACACAGTTCTGCAGATGAAGGTGATGGCCACACATTGTACACCCATTCCGGAGCTGACTGGCCAAGTACCGGACATCAATTATTCTTCGACCTACCACGGGGAATTCGTCACTAGGTGACCCGCTGTCCAGCTCAACGGAAGCCTTCTCTTTATTATTCCTGCTTGTAGGAGTAGCTAGAGCTGCCGAACGCATCATGGTTACTTTGTTGACATACGAATCCACAACAGCTTGAATATCAGGCGGCAGTGACAACTCTGCTTGACACTTGGCAACAAATGGGGAGACGACAGCAAGGCTAACATATCGTTCCAGTGCAGTCTGACTATCCTCCTTCTCGAGGAGGTAGCTGGTCGGAAGAGACAAACCATTGTGCCTGATCAGTGGGATCCCAGAGCACGAGCTGTCAGGAAGGATGGGTGCAAAGTGGCCATTCCTGTAGCACACAAATAATGCGTCCTTCGAGCATTCATTATAGTCGAGCATCAAAGGCAGGTACACTCTGGGAAAGTGATTTTGTTGTACTGGTTGGGGGCGTCCACATCCAGCACAAACTCACCACCAAACACCACAATTGGTCTTCGTAGGATGTGTGCCATCAGGAAGACATGTACAGGCTCCAGAGATGGGCATTGTGTACTTCTTCCATTCTGGACAGGTGTTAGTTTCAGAATGTCAGCCCACATTTCTTGGTATACCTCGTCTTCAAAGTTGAAACCGTTGCTGGCATCACGCACGCGTTCCTCGTGTTTCCACTGCCGTACAGGAAGTTGTTGGTTCAGAACTGGGGTTTGTTTCCACACTTGCGTGATCATACCCGTGATCCGAAGGCAACTATTCAAAATCAGGATTCAGAGTATCGCCTGCACGGTGCCGGTGGTTGTCCAAGGTAGCATTTACATTCTTCTCTATAAAAAAAGGTGGGGATATAAGTGTCATATATTTGATATCTATCTATGAACAAGCGCAACTAAAATATGGTTGAGCGTTGCGTAAAATGTGTTTGAGATAGAGTGTCACTCTTAGATGCGACTGGTGCCATCAACTAATGTCAAGGAAAGAATGTGTTCAATCTTCTTCTGCGCACGTAGAAATGCATTTTGGTTTTTTCGATGATTTAGAATGTATGTCGCGTGAAAATGACAATGTGACAGAGTCAGCCACAATTTAGGAATTACTGTGCATTGATCTAGCTATATACACTGCACGTGCACTGTAAATATTGTGTTACGTGCACGTAGTTGTGAAGAGAGACAGTATACATGTACATTCACTAATGACACACCTGTCAGACAGCAGGTTAGGGCTAGTCAAAGATATGAAGGCGCAATATACAATATGCCGACCATGGACATGGGCAATGCCTGCTGGAAGGGACATCCCAACACTTCTCTGACCGGTGACAATCTCCACAAGTAAAAAAAGCACCTAAAAAAGTAGCCAAAGTGAAGGAGTGAGTGCAAGCAGGATCTAGGAGTACGGGTACAGTCAACTTCGCTTATAACGACACTCGGCGGGGCATCAGAAAAGTGTCCTTATTCGCGAAGTGTCGTTATACCCGAAGTCTCATTATATGTGTCACAGTTGGATGGGACTTTGCTCTGGGCATGAACATTATGTCGTTATTCGCGAATTGTCGTTATATCCGCAGTCGTTATTAGCGAAGTTGACTGTAATTGATCTGCACCAGTGAAAAAGAAGAAAAAGCTCATTCTCTAGACTCGAGTACTCAGACAAGTGCATATGCGTAAGCTGGACCCTTCGAAACTGGAGTGCGGTACAAACTCACTCCGCATGCACTTTTCTCGAACGTAGGATGCGCGAGAACCTGCGCAGAAGACGAGTTTAGAAATAGGAGCGAGCCACCTTAACGTTCATGCGTTAGTTTAGAGCCGGCTACTGTTTAATCTGCATCGTAGGAATGGTGTTGTATTTGAATCATGGGAGTGTGACAAGAGCCAATTGTCACTTTTCGGTATGATCCAGGTAACATTGCTAAATTCTGGGTACAGCCGTGACGCACGCTGATATGCCATTTACAGACAACTCCTAGATACATACATACCGTATGTCCGCACCTTTAAAGCCACGGAGGTATATTCGATTATAAAGTCAGTCTCAAGACTGCCAAATATGATGTACGATGGGGGTTGATAACGTGTTACTTCGGAGTAGATTAAAACGTACCCCAGTAAATGTATCCCCCAGAACTGCTGTGTTGAAAATTGAAGTACGTATGCGGCGACAATACACGTTCTAGTATGGTACTAAATAAAACTGTAGTCAAGGACTTCACTCTTAGGCCTCGGTCACGCTACGGCAAGTTTGAAGCTGGACATAGCGTCAAAACTCCAACACTTTACGCTGACGTGGAGTCACATTGCATTTTTGCTTTTGCAGTCGGGGCCTGACGCACTTCACCAAACCACTCTGGCGAAACAAATCGCTACGATAGAGTACAGTATGGTACGCTATTTTGAATATTTTCAAAAGAAACTGTTTTTCATGCAAGTGCATGCAGCAGCAGCGTCAACGCAGCCAATTTGCTTGTGTCAGACGCTGCTGCGTCTGACGCTCGAATTTCCCGCGTTTTCATCAGTTGCCATGGAAATACTCATGACTCTGACGCAGCATTTCTGACATAGTGTGACCGAGGCCTAAGCCACCTCATGTGTTCTTTGTTTTTTGTTTTCAGGATTGTCTTAACGAGCGGCAGTTCTCCCCAGGATCAGCTCATCGCCCTCAACTTCATAACTTCTTCAACAAGGTTGGTTTTTGGCCAATGCCCATGTATGCCGTATAGACAACGTGTACGTACTGTTTCAAATGGCTGGCAGCGGTGTACAGACAGGTCTCACTTCCCTAGCCAGCCGATGGAAAAATCTGCCAGAGCTGGTTTACTGCAGCACTTTTTGAATACTGTGTAGCACAGTTTAATTTTCCAGCTCACACACGTGTCACGCCTGTTTTTGTAGATTCGTTTATCAGAATGTTGGCACATGTCGGTGCATGTGCTACTGTGGCACTGGGACCTTGATTTACCGGGGGAAAGCACCATCACGAGTATCATCAAGGGGCCCAGGATGTACCGTGTCTGCACTCGAATACAAGTAGCTGCTGCTTTGGCGGCTGAGACCACTCTGAGCTGGCTTACCAGTCAACAAGGGTTATCAATCCGCAATGTCTCGAATCAACAATAGCATGAGCAGAGATGCGGTGAGGACTGTCTTGTACTCTAGCTCGGACTTGAATGAGAGGACTTCACCCTACTGTGAGAGGGCTTCACATCACTGAATGAAGTGTACTATCCATCATTTTTGTTTTGCTTTTGGTAAAACAGATGTGTTTGGTTATTGCGATTGATGTCTCTGTTTCCATCGTATACATTGCAGGTGATCGAGTCTCGCTTTTCTCAGCGCAATGCAGTAAGTCTAGCTGTGTTTAACTCCTTTTTCAGCCAGCATATACAATATTGTCCTATAAGGAGGGATGTGTCCATCAGTTCTGTCTCATTCATTTCCATAGGAGTTGCATTTGCAGTACTTTCTAGTTTGCTGAGACCAGCTTATTTCAAGGCCAGATTATTGTTTTTGGTATGTGAATGCGTTAGCTACGTCACCAAGCATGTTCTCATGGCATGGACAATCATATCAATGATCTGTACGCAAAACAAAACGCTCAGTTCTACGTTGACGAAGAGTGAACTGGGTTCCAGTGACTTTACAATTTGTTCTTTTGCCCGCGAACCTGGCGCTGGGACGACTTTGGCAAGTAGCAGTGCTTGACCTGTGACAGCGGGGATGTTGGGTGTAGGCCCATTGTCGTACCGGCCCAGCAACTTGTGCTAGCCGTAGACTGCCACGTGAATATGATGATAATGCGTTGCAGCAACAAGCCTATGGAATACCGGCAGTGATATATGCATGTCTCTATTCTGCCCTTCTTTTTTGTTACAGTCCAGCGTAGACCGGCGACGGACAAGTGGGCTAACAAGGTAGTCGGAAAAGACAGCTGAAGTTCAAGCACTCCGTCCACTGGCATCCACTGCCATGCAGAGTACGCGGCTTCAGAGCTAAGCTGAGTGGTGTTTTTTGCCGACTTTATTGGCGGCTATGTTGTACTGGATCCTGGAGCTCTTACATTATTGGATAGCTCTTGTTGACAAACTCCAAGCATGGCTACTGAACCAAGCACGCCTGTGTTCCCTACACAGTTCACTGCTACACGTACACGTATGGGTCCTCCCAGAGTTGTCACACCTACTTGAAGTAGATATCTACAGCCTCTTGATCAGCACTGGTGACATGGGTCTGTGTGTGTCTGATGCCTGCTACTCGAATCCTGCGAGCTTCACGCTTGTGTTCGAGAAAGGGAGCTGTCCGTCCTTCGCGTGATGGTGGCTGTGTGGCATGTGGTTGTCTGTGGCATTCACGGGCCCGGGTTGCATGTGATATACCTGGCTCTTATGGAAATTATAGCACAGTTGTGTGTAGTGAGAGGACAGGTCTCGTTACATCTTGTTTCAGGAATGGAACGCATTATTGATGAAAGAAAAGGCGCTCTTCTGATCTGAGCCAAATAGCCTGATGCTGGCTCTCTGCCTCTGCTTTCATGTTCATATAATGTAGTTTTTTTTTAAATCACGCTCTCACAGTACAATGTACTTAGATTTTGCTACATTTTACTGTGCTTTTTTAACGTACCGATAATATCATAATCGATTTTCTTTTTACTGTGCTGATTACTGCGATGAGCATGTATTTCAACGCCCACTGTGTTGCATGTTGCTGAAGGTTCTTACCTGTATATCTCTGTAGAAGTGCAACCATTCTGCATTGAACCTTCTTTTATTATTATTAAAGTTATTACTATTAGAAGAGTAGAACCATTGAGACAGTCGCCGGTCAGTATTGCCGCGTTTGCTGCCTATTTTTCACTTAGATTTCTTATCAATTAACATCTCGTATATTCACTTCGAAGTTGCGACTTCGGCGGTGTTAGTGATGAAGTTGGGTGTTCCAACGAGGAACACACGCTTCCTGCCATACTCGACACTTGACTGATTCACGGCTGCCACCCAGAGCACACGAGGAGCACGTGGCACCTTCCACTCGGCAAACCTGCAAGAAAGCACCACTCCCTGCTCAATACATAGTGTTTCGGGGAATTCATCCCTCATCAGTTGAGCTAGAGTAGGCTGAGGAAGATTGTGCCTGAAAAGCACCACTTACATAGTGCTCTCCAGGCCAAACCACACACACACACACACACACACACACACACACACATGCGCGCGCACGCGTGCATGTACACCAAGCATACCACCACACCCAGGTACGCACACAACTTCATCAAGTGCACTTGATGTTGGATGACAATGATCATGAAGATGAGGGAGTTTTCTAAAACTCAGCACGGTGATGATTGATGACCGGGTTCGTCTGGGTAGGCCTTGGTGCCGTTGGCGGAAAGCTTGGATTCTATTCGAAAAGCACCAGCCGGGGAGCCGTATTTTACGATTCCCTGGTCAGAACCATACGATACAATCAAACTGTTAAAAAACAGTTATATCAAGAGTAGATAAACAAGAGTGTGCAACTCGCGGATGGGTAGGCCCACGGCGGAATTTTTTGTTGACGTAATCTTTTTGACGACGCACGCGCTGTGAGTCTTTCGGAAAGTTTTCCTCGTGCTCTTGGCCGGCTTTACACTACAAGGTCGGTGCCCAGCACGTGCGCTCACACTGCTCTGCGGCAAAATGCGCGTTCTTCTGAATAAAGGTGACGTCAACAAAAAATTCCGCCGTGGGCGGGGGTATCTGCAGATTATGCAGGAGAGATCCGGAGTTGCACACTCTTGTTTATCTACTCTTGGTTACATATAGCAACATTTCGGTGTCAGGGACTTGCCAGGTTTCAATTTGATTTGTAGTGTAGAATTGTATTGGCAGTAGTAGTCACTGTCACAACAACAAGCCCTGATTACATTTGAATTATAAATAGTTACAGTGGTGGAGAGTTACTCTTAACTCGTTTCCATATGTCCTTTTCCTTTCTAATAATAATAATAATAGTATATGAACAGGTCGTATATCATGTATATTGCCCGCATAAACAAATCATACAGGGGTCATGCATCTGTCAATTAATACCGGTAGTAGTGCTGCAAAACCTGTCAAGACGACCACCTGTCCTGGAAGACAACTGAACCAGGACCAGGGAGCCCTACACATACCGGTATGTGTAGGGTGCATATCAGGGAGCCCTACACATACCATACTCCATAGTGGTATCAAGAGTACATAACCCATGTGTAGGGCTCCCTGGTGCGATGACAACACAAGCAAGCTGACAGGATCGCTTTTCTAAGGGACCATCGCAAAAGTTCGCAGAAGCCCCTGAAACGAAGAGCATACGTTTGGGGGGGAGGGAGTCGGTGCGAAAATCGCAAACCGGGCTTCAATTCAAAAAAGTATTGACGACATAATTATAGGAGCTGTAGGATCTAGGATTAGCATGCCATCACAGCCGGCGTAGATCGCTTGAATGTGAAAGCAATATACACCAATCAACGTTCATTGTAATGCTCAAAGGATACAACTGCATAGCTCTAGCTGTTCTCGTTCTTAGATCACCCACTGTTGGCTACTGTTCTGCTTCAGTACCCCCCCCCCCCCCCCCCCACTTTTTCATGATTTTGCATGTTATCGTTTTCTCGGATTCCGGTTTTCCACTCAATATTAATATTATTATCAAGAGTAGATAAACAAGAGTGTGCAACTCCGGATCTCTCCTGCGCTGCACAATCTGCAGATACCCCGCGCCCACGGCGGAATTTTTTGTTTACGTCACCTTTTTTCAGAGAAACGCGGCTTTGCCGCAGAGCAGTGTGAGAGCACGTGCTGGGCACCGACCTTGTAGTGTAAAGCCCAGCCAAGTGCACGAGGGAAAACTCTCCAAAAGGCTCGCAGCGCGTGCGTCGTCGAAAAGATTACGTCAACAAAAAATTCCGCCGTGGGCCAATCCATCCGGAGTTGCACACTCTTGTTTATCCAGTCCATGCGCCAAGACCGAAAAAGTCGTCTAAAAGTTGTACTTTTTTATGCAGATTAGCCACTTTTCCGAGCTGAATATATTCAAATCTTCGTTGAAAAATTGTCAAGAAAATGTTAGATGTCTCGAGTCGTTTGCAATTTTCTCTCCATCAGTGCTTGTTTGCGGAAGTTTTGCTTTCCGGACACCTTGATTGGGCCTTTGACCTTATGGATGTCAGTTGTAGTGGTCGTTACTCATTGTCTCGACGTCGCTGGGAGTGTTCTTGTGGGAGCTGTCAAATATTCGTAAAAATCAGGCAAGTGGCAAAGAAAAATTCGCCAAATTTTTGGGCAAGATAGTATGTAGACATCGATGCTTTCCTTTGACTCTCCACCGATGTGGAAACACTTCCAGAAGCGTTCATCGGTGTCCGGTTCTTGATGGGGTCGTGGTGGCCTCCACGGTTTGGAACAAAACAAAATCAATGCATTGTCTGTCGTCACCAGTGGGAGACGTATTACATGGCAAAGAAACGCACCAGCACCCGTATTCACTCTTGAGGGGCCTGAGATAGAAGCATACATCATCTTCGTTCAAATGACAAAGTTCTAGCCAGGGTCTGCAGACCGCAATTTCAATGTCATTTTTTGGTCCCTTAAAAATGGCCTAGCCAATAGCCTGTAGGTAGATTATGCAGCATTGGTGTGTTCTTCGGGCTTGCAATCATGTTATATTACTCATGAACTTCTTTTGTAAGATTCGTGCGAAACTGAAAGTTGTAATGTACTCTCAGGACAGCTTGAAGTAGGTTTCAATTCTCAGTGACGTGCAAAGGTCTTTTAAGCCGTCATTGTGAATGTCAATGGGAATATGATCCAAGAGTCCACAACCCCAAGGGAAATGTGTGATGGACTCTTTAATAGTATGATCTGTGCGCAAAGAACTGCAGTTGAGTCATTGTTTTAGCAATATGGCTGCGTTCTGAGTTTTAGCACATTCTTAGACTCTTATTGTACTGGAGTGTGCACTTTATAACACGTGTACATGTATAACAAAAGCTGAATTATAGAACGGTAGAAAATGATATGCCCCATTCTCAGCTTTGGTTTCTGGCGTTCTTTTAACGAGAGAGCTTGGAAGCTCAGGGCCCTACGCTATGCTTTTTTGCCTTGATGACCTAGACAAAAAAAAAGCATAGGGATGTTATAAATTCTTTAAAAAATTCCTTTTTTTAAAGACATAACCTGGGATTCGAACCCGCACTATCGCGCGCCCTGCATGCATCCCCCGATACACTTCGCATACATACTAATTCTTCCAAGTTGTTTCACATTGTGATCTTGCATTTGAAAGCCCTATTTGAATATGCATTGTGGCCAGCCGTCTTTGATGGCACGGTACGGTAGGGGATAGGCACGGGACAGGTACGATCGAGGGTAATACGACACCGTCTCCCGTACCGTACCATCAAACACAGCTGGCCACATACAGCTGCCCGCAATATTCAAATAGGGCTTTCAAACGCAAGATAATAACGTAAAGCAACTTGGAAGAATGGGTATGAATGCGAAGTGTATGGGGGAATGCATGTAGGGCGATAGTGCGGGTTCAAATCCCAGGATATGCCTGAAAAAAAAGGAGAATTGAAAAATTTATAACATCCTATGCTTTTTTGCCGTCAGATACGGATAGCGCCAGGCGTGACACAAACAAACACACAAACAAACACCAAATTAAAGCTGTGTGGACCCTGGCTAGCGCCAGACGTTACTGAAGTAACGTCTTCTGCATAGCTACGGGAATTATTAGTATTTCAGGCTGCGTGTTCTTGGGCTCCGTGTTCTTTAAAGGGGAAGTATACCCTAAAATCAAATTTTCACCAGTTGTAGTCTTCGGGGTGCTGAGTCGAATGGTCTTGGTCCGAGGAAGCTGAGACGCTCCCTTCCTCCTTTATTCCCAATCGACCTCACGCACTTCCACCGAAACTGGGTGACTGCGCCCTACTACAATTATATAGAGATTTGTATGGAAAAAATCACTAAAAGCCCCGTTTCGTTCTTATAAAAGCGCGGATGACCGCGATTGGTCCATATGTTGTAGTCTTTTGGCCGCTGAGTCGGCTGGTTTTGGTCCGAAAAGGCTGCGATGCAGCGTTCGGCCCTTACTCCCAATCGAACACGGTTGAGTAAGCGGTCACGTGCTCACTTACAGCCTGTTTGGGCCCGTTTATGTCACTCGAGTTGAATCTTTGAACCAGGGAGTCGCAAAAGCCTCTTACGACTCCCTGCTTTGAACCTTTCAGTTGAACCTTGATGTGAAAATTGTAGCCTGCAGGCACGGTGACCAGGCGGCTGGTGTACGCATGAGCACTTGACCGCTTACTCAACCGTGTTCGATTGGGAATAAGGGCCGAACGCGTCTACCAGAGCCAGTGCATGTGAGTGATTGCTATATCCTCCTTCTGTAACCAATACAATGTAGATCAGGGAGTCGTAGTACACGTGGAGACAACACAAGCAATTGTAACGTTAAAGGGGAAGTTAAGGCAAAAATCAAAATTTCACCAGTTGTAGTCTTCGGGGTGCTGAGTCGAATGGTCTTGATCCGAGAAAGCTGAGACGCTCCCTTCCTACTTGAATCCCAATCGAACTCGCGCACTTCCACCGAAACTGGGTGACTGCGCCCTACTAGATGGGGATTTGTATGCAAAATGTCACTAAAAGCGCCATTTCGTTCTTATAAAAGCACGGTGGACCGTGATTGGCCCATATGTTGTAGACTGGTTTTGGTCCGAAAAGGCAGCGATGTAGCGTTCCTTCTTTATTCCCAATCGAACATGGCTGAACAAGCGGTCACATGCTCGTGCGTACACCAGTCACCTGGTCACCGCGCCAGCAGGCAACAATTTTCACACCAAGGTCCAACTCAAAGATTCAAAGGTTCAACTCGAGTGACAGAAACTCGCTCACAAACATGCTGTAAGTTGTAGCCTGCAGGCACGGTGACGAGGTGACTGGT